ACATATATATTTTATTATAAATTAACTAATTAATTAATTAAATAAGTAATTAAATAACTTAAATTAATATATTTAACGTTAAATTTAAAATTAAATTTAATAATTATTTAAATAATTAATTAAATGCTTAATTAACGACTTAATTTAATAATTAATTAAAGATTTAATTAAATATTAAATTAAAAAAATTAAAGGATTAATGTAATTAAAGGGATTAAAAGGATTTAAAAGTTAATTTAAGATATTTTAATTATATAATTTTAATTATATTAAGTGATTAAAGTTTTAAAACATTTTTAATTAAGTTTTTAATTAATTTTTAAATTTTTTAATTTTTATAATCTTATTAATCCTTTTAATTTAATATTTAATTAAGTTTTTAATTAATTAATAAATTAAGTATTTAATTAAGTTAAAGCCTTTAAATGCACTTTTAAGTATTATATATTTATTAGGTTTTTTAAATCTTTAAATTTAAGCTTAATTTAACGCTTTTAATTTAAACTATATTTAACCTTTTTTTTATTTTAAATAACTTTTAAATTAAATATTATATTATATTATAACCGGATTTAATTAAAAGCGCATTTAATTATTAATTAATTAATACCGGCTTTAAATTAATATAATATTTAATTATAACGTTATTTAAGTAAATAAGTGGTAAAATAAAAAGCATATAATTACTTTTAAAATAACATTAAATTTTTTAACGCCTTTAAAGCTTTTAAAGTTAAACTTTATTTAATATTTTTAACTTTTAATAATTTTTTAAAATATATAATTATAAAGGTGTAATTAAATTTAATTAAAAACAAATTTAATAAAAAATTTATTAATACCGCTTTTAAATTAAAACGATATATAATTGAAAAGTTATTTTAATATATATAATTATTAAAAAGGGTTACGTAATATAATTTAAAATAACCTTAAGCGGTTTTTAAGGCTTTTAAATAACTTTTAAAGCTTTTAAACAACTTTAAAAGCTTTTAATAACTTTAAAAAACTTTTAATATAACTTTATTTTATTAATTTATTTATTTAAATAATTTTACAATTATATATCGCTTTAATTTAAGATTTAAATTAATTAATTAATAATTAAATGCTTTTTTAATTAAATTTAATTATATCTTATCTTAATAAGCTTAAATTAAAAATTAAAAAATAATTAAGCTATACCCGTTTATACCACAAGTATATCATTTTCTAGCCCATGCTTATATATATGTGGGGCTAAAAATAATGTTTTTTAATTTTTAATTTAAGCATAAATTATAAAACGTTAATCGAAATAACATTTTAAACCATTTTAATTAAAATTATTAAAATATTATCGTACTTTTTAATAACCACGTTATAATAACTTAATTAAATAATTTTAAATTAAGTTAGCAATTATTTCATTATAATATTTAACCTTAAAAACTTTTTTTATTTAATAATAACGTTTATAAAACTTTTAAAAATACAACGGTTTAACTTATTTTAATTAAAAAATTATATAAAATATGTTAAAATATTATTATACTCGTTAACAATTATGCCATAATAACTAAATCAAATAATTTTAAATTAAGCTACTAATAAAGTTAATTATAATATTTAACCTTAAAGACTTTTTTTATTTAGTTGTAACGTTTAAAAGGCCTTTAAAAGCGCAACGTTTAAAAGGCCTTTAAAAGCGCGACGTTTAAAAAGCCTTTAAAAGCGTAATAATTATTATCCATTATAATAAAGTGAGACGTAATCGCATTAACGACGCATTAATAATAATCCGATTTAACCTAACCTAACCCTTTAAAACAGCTTATAACCTGCCTTATATATGTTTTTAAATCTTATATTTAAATTAATTAAAAACTTAATAATTAAATAAATGAGATAAACGTGGTTAATTATTTTTATCTAATTAATTAATTAATTAATTAATTAAATTATTATTATTTTAACAAAAATTTAACATTATAAGCTTAAATTATAAGTTTATATTTATTTTTTTAACTTACTTAATCGTTATAATTAACTAAAAGTTAATATAACTAAAAAAATATATAAGTATAAACTTATAATTTAAGTTCACTAAAATAAGTTATATCGTGGTATTATATATAATTAAAAAGTTATTTAATTAAATTAATATAAGTAATTAAAAAGGCATTTATTAAATTATATAATTTAATTTTTTAAGTTATAACTTTTTTTTTTATATAAAATAAAATATATAAATTATTAATTTTTTTAATTTAACTTTTTTAATTTAATTTAATTAATTAAATTAATCGGATTAATTAAATTAATTAATTAATAAATTAACTAATTAAATGTTATACTTTTCAAATTACGTAATTATTTATAACATTTTTTTTAATATAATAAAGGTTATTAAATTTTTTAATTAAATTTAATTTAATTAATTAAATTAATTAATTTAAATTAAATTAATTTAATTAAATTAATTATATTAATTAAATTAATAAATTAATTAATTAATTAATTAAATAATTAATTTATATATTTTATTATAAGTTAATTAAATAATTAATTAAATAATTTAAGTTAATTTATTTAATATTAATTTTAAAATTAAATTTAATAATTATTTAAATAATTATTTAATAACTTAATTTATTAATTAATTAAAAACTTAATTAAATATTAAATTAAAGGAATTAAAGGGATTAAAAGAATTAAAGGGTTTAAAAATTAATTAAAGATTTAATTAAAGTTATATAATTAAAATATTTTTATTTAAATTTTCGATTAACTTTTAAATCCCTTTAATTACATTAATTCTTTAATTTTTTTAATTTATTATTTAATTAAATCTTTAATTACTTAATAAATTAAATCTTTAATTAAATATTTAATTAATTATTTAAATAATTATTAAATTTAACGTTAAATTTAATATTAAATAAATTAATTTAAGCTATTTAATTAATTATTTAACTAATTTATAATAAAATATATAAATTAGTTATTTATTTAATTAATTTATTAATTTAATTAATTTAATTAATTAAATTAAATAAAGAGTTTTGCTATGTGTATTACTTATTTTTATTATTAAGGCCTTAAGTGCATTATTTTTAAGTATTAATACATGCTTTAAATTTTGAAATTTAAGCTTAATTTAACGTTTTTAACGCCCTTAATTACTTATATTAATTTAATCTAAATAACTTTTTAAAACATATAATTATAAACGTGTAACCGGGTTTAATTAAAAGGGAACTTAATTATCGATTAATTAATATAAGTCTTAAATTAAGGCGATATATAGTTGCAAAGTTATTTAAGTAAATAAGTGGTAAGACGAGAAGCACGTAATTACCTTTAAAGCTATATTAGGAGCCTTTAAAGCCGCTAAAAAGCCTTAAAGCCGCCTGGGGTTATGTTAAAAAGTGTCACGTGACTGCTCTCGAGACAAATACCGACATAACTTTTTAACCATGTATCGCCTTAAATTACGGTTAATATTAATTAATTAATAATTAAATTTTTTTTTAATTAAATCCGGTTACACGCTTATAGCTATATGTTTTATAAAGCTATTTAAGATTAAAATTATTAAATAAGGTTTAACTTTAAATGGCTTAAAAGCTTTTAACGTAGCTTAAAAGCTTTTAACGTGGCCTAAAAGCTCTTAATGTGGCGTTAAGGGTAGTCACGTGGCCCTAGCTTATTATCTTATTTATTTAAATAACTTTGCGATTATATATTACCTTAATTTAACATTTATATTAATTAATTAAAAATTAAATCCTCTTTTAATTAAATTTAATTATATTTTAATATAACATGTGGTTGAAAAGTTATTTAAAATTAAAGGGTTAAAAAGCTTAAAACGGCTTTAAATTTAAAGTTTTAAAGGACTTATAAGATATATAATACTTAATAATAATATACTTAAAGCCCTAATAATAAAAATAAGTAATACATATAGCAAAACTTTAAATAAAAAGGGTTATATTAAAAAGGTTAAATTAAAAAAGTTAATAATTAATGTGTTTTTTATTATATTTAAAAAAATAATATTATAAATAATCACGTGATTTAAAAGGTGTTATATTTAATTAATTTATTTATTAATTAATTAATTAATTAATTAATTAATTAATTTATTAATTAATTAATTTAATTAATTTAATTTAATTAATTTAATTTAATTAATTTAATTAATTAATTTAAATAAAAAAGGTTAAATTAAAAAAGTTAATAATTTTTATAATTTAAAAAAAAAAGTTATAATTTAAAAAAATAAGTTATATAATTTAATAAATATTACATTTAATTAAATTATCGTGTTAAAACTTTAAATTTTTTATATTATATTAACTTAAAAATAGCTTTTAAAACTTATAATTCCAGTGATTTTAATTAATTTTAACTTTTTTATACGGGTTATTAAAATAATTAAATACATATATTTTCCATTTTTATAATAATTATAATAAATTAATTAAATCTTAATAGCCATTAACGGATTTAAATATTTTCAAGGCTTATAATAATATTAAACCTTTAATATTCCTTATTTAAAAGCTTAAGCACTTAATAAGATTTAAAGTTTAAGCATTTTTCCATATATATAGCTGCATTTGTGGCTCCCCACGTGACTTGATAGTCTTGGCAAACCTTCCTCTTTTGCAAAGCCTAAAATTCCTTTAAGTCTTGAGGTGTGGCTGTATGTGTGGCTCCATACGTGGCTTGAGGATCTTGGCAAATCTTCCTCTTTTGCAAAGCCTAAAATTCCTCCCCTAGAGACCCACAAGCTTACGTGAGCAACCATTTGAAGTCTTGGCAAACCTTCCTCTTTTGCAAAGTCCAAAATTCCTCCCCTAGAGACCCACAAGCTTACGTGAACAACATCCCCACCTTCCTAAAGTGGAAAAAGTTTCCCATTTGAGCCTAGCGCGTCTGCTTAGTAATCCAAATCCCCTTGAGAAAAAAACCGTACAGTAACCCTCGAAAACTCGGGCATGGTCATGGTTAGGGCTTCATGTCAAATTGTCTCAGACTCTAAGCTGAGCTGAAGGCTAAATAATAAATAACTCAAGCTAATAACTACTACTAGAAGAGAGAGAAAAACAAGAGAAAACCAGAATTATAAAGAGCTAATGTAGTTTACTACTAACTAGTCAAAAGAGCAGCTTTTGTCTTGTTCCAACATTGGGCAATTTCGATGAATGCATGCTATAATCACGAAGCTCTCATGCTCTCCCCTTATCACTTAGCAATTGATTCACATAAAGGCCACAACAATTTGGATAAAACGAAACCACTTATTATAATGTGATCGGGACTTTTATTGAAGTCTGAACTCAACGGGGGTATGAGAGTTGGAAAATTAGGAAAATACTCACTCATAGCTTCACTTGTCAAAGGGATTACCTGGGTTACCTGGGTTATACCTCTCTCCAGCTACTACTAGCACGGCACTTCCTCCCACACTAGTCATCATAGCAGATCTTCATCGTGCAAGGGAACGGGAAGTATGCTCCCCTGTCCTCCCTCATATACTCGTAGAATCCTCCCGGAGTTTTAACCTTCTTGAGCTCCCCCTGAGGACCCGCGGCCTTTCGCACGTTCTTCAACTTGAAAACGGAGCGGAACATCTCAGTCAACCCAGCCTGGCATGCGTCACGACCTAGGCACGCATAAGGTCCCAGCCCAAAATGTTCGTAGGATTCCAGGGGACGACGTGGGTTGACCTTCTCAGGGTCCGGGAAGCGTGCAACGTCTTTAGCTGCGCCAGTCTTTTACACAGATCGATTAGTTGTTTGGAGCATAACATGCAATATGTCTGGTACATGTAAATGCATAGAAGGTAAGAAGCACTTACATAGTTGACAAAAACACGTTCCCCGGTTCGAACAGGCACCTCGTGACCATCATCTTCCGTGACCGTATCGTCGGCCACCGCCTGGCGGAAAGAGCAAAATGACCCAGCCAATCTAACACCCTCCAAACCATACCCAAGCATCAACGCATCAGTTTCTTCCGACGACGGAAGGTTCGCGATGCGGTGCAGGTCCGGGACATGCTTGGATCCCTCCGGCGACAGGAAGAAATCTACGGCGATAGCGAACTACGCAGCGAGTCAGTCAGTACCATCTATCCAAGCTAACCACTCCAACAAGACGAAAAAAAAAACAGTTATATTCCACATACCACTTCTGCCAGATTCGGCACAGATGCACCCGCCGTAGGCAGGATCTGGTTCCACGCAATATCATGATTACTCAGGCCCGCCTTCGACAACCCCTTAATCAAGCCATTACCATACGCCGCCACGGGATCATTCTTGTGCGCTCTCGAGCCAAACAACCCACCAATCCCAAAGCCCGTCACGCACTTCACATGCGCCTCGGCCAGCCTCCCGAGCTGCGAACCCACTGCCCTCGCCGCCTGCCTTAGCGGGAACGACTTCGCGGGCTCGGCATCGACGCAGGTGGACGCGAAGATGGTCGCGAGCACCATGTATAGCTCCTGCTCGCTGTAAACCCCTTTGCCGCTCTCCGTCGTGCGCAGTGGGAGATTGAACAGCCGCGAGACGAAGTGCACGGGCGCGAGGTTCCCGACGTCGCGGATGATGTCGACGAAGTTCTGGCCCGCGAGCCGGTAGCTCTTCTCCGCGATCAGGCGGTCCGTGTGCTGGGCGTAGAAGGCCTTGACGTGGGGGTACCACCCTTCGTTGTAGAGCTGGTCCTTGATCCGCTCGGTCTGGCTGTCGCGGGAGGAGGAGTCGCCCCGGATTGAAAAGCGGGTTTCGCCAGTGCCGAGAAGGGAGGAAAAGCCTTCGGACCACATGGGCTTGTAGTGTTCCTGGTTCTCGAGTACGCGCTCAGCTCCTCCATGTGTAGCGATGTTGACACACGGGGGGTTGAAGGAAGGACGCTCGTAGTTGAAATGGTGTGCGCGGCCAAGATTGGTCAAGATCATCTTGGTCTCGCTCGGGACTATGTGGACACGTTTAGCTCTCTCAACATACTTCAAAGGCTAGCTAGCGCTGAGCAACACGTACCAACCATGGGATAGTGGGCATAGACTGAGTCTCCCTTGAAATGGTTGGGGAAGGCTCGCATGAACAGCTTGTAAAAGACGCATCCCTGGTTCATGTTCAGATCATAGGCCACTTCGTTATAACCCCAAGATGTGAGGCCACGCGGGTGATAATCGGTGGTGTAGAAACGGTCACCCCGAGTTAAGCAGACGGCGTCGGACAAGATCACACGAGAAATGGTGTAGGTAGGCTATCATAAGTTCATGGTCAGCAATTTCCACTCCTATTTCCTCAAGCTTAGGTAATTAATACTGGGTAGGTAGTAAAGGGGGTGGCTTACCGCGATTCCAACACCAGGTATCATTGGCTCCTTAGCCTCCTCGGCAACAAGACCCGGGTAAAGCTCGACGAAATCAGGGTGCTCGTAGAGGTTTCGAAGCGAACCAGCAATCTCCGGGTCAGAGTTGATGTCCTCAAACTTCTCATACGGTTTCAGCCCGAAGTGCTTGCGGAACTCGTTCAAGCCCGCAACATTCCACTTTCTTCCCTGGATGATACCCAGGATCTCTACGGGCTTCATGCACTCCGGCACATTGCGGCCTCCGAAAGCTCCGGCGCAGTCTTCTATCGCGTCGCTGATGCAGTTGACCAGGTCATCGTCGTTGAACTTGCCATCTGCGTTGCGCTTGAATCCGCCGAAGACTCTTTCGGCAGGATCTTCCGGGATGCGACGTTCGAACTTGCCAAAGCCCATTATCATGTCTTGCATACTCAATTCCAATGGATTCTTACCGAATATCTCGTGGTAAAAGTCTTGGACCCACTGGTCGTCCTTGGCCGAGATACACGAGTGCCATCTAGAAAGAATTAGACAAATATACCAAGATACCTACAATGTGTGGTATGCTTGTTAAGCTCTACTTACCTGTAGCAGAGGTTGAATTCAGCAGAAACCATACTGCCCGTACCACGCTCAGATCCCGCGTTGGTGCCCACGTCACGGCCCATCTCCGCTCGAGGGTCTAAGGTCCACGTGGTGTTGCTCCGGTTGAGATTGACAATGTTTCGCACGTAGTCCACCAGAGTGATATTGATGTATAACCCAGATGTGACCAGTCGAGCTGTCTGGAAAAGATCGTTATCATACTTCTTCCACGCGGCAGCCGCCTTCTCTTCGCTCAGGCCCGGGGGCGGTGGTGTGAACCTACCCCCTTCATTGATAGCGGCAAGGTTCGTGGCGATGTGGTTGTGGAAGCGATTGAACATGATCAGGATCACGCTGACTCCCGGTGGTGAGCCAAGAAGCCTCTTGTCGGCGTAGGTGTCCGGCTTCATCAGCCCATCCTTGAAAGTGCGAATGGAGTCTTGCATATCTTGGTTGCTACCGTAGAGAGGCGAGAGATCCAAGAACGAAGACGTCCTGGTCTTGGTCATGTCAGTTTGATCTGTCCAGAAGAGGTCGTGGATGATGATGGTTGCCCAATACCAAAGCACAGATGAGACGTTGTTCGGATGCTTGCGGTATTGAGTTCTCTTCATGACTGATTCGAATATCAGTTCCGGGTCAGGCATGGCTCCCAAAGGTATGACCCCCGGACGACATGTTCGGGCATATGTCGAGCCCGCTGCTCCCAATTGAGGGTTCATCGGGTTATTCCACGACCCATCTGCCATCCGGTACTGATGCTTCTCGCCAAGGTAGAGTAAGGGTGGGTGGTCCAATGTATCCCAAAGCTCGTTCAAGAACGTGTTAGTCAGTTCCTCCCGGAGTCGTGACTTGTCAGGTAGTTCGGCGACAAGCTGAATCACGCGTTCCATGATCATCGTCTTGTCATCTGCTACCTGTTCGCCCTTTAACTTGCTCCGGGCAAGATCTAGCACTGTCTTCACATCTTTGCTGTGTCAGTAAACGTCGTAACCCAATGGAGACTTGTATAATAAACATACCTTTCATATGAAGGTATTTGAAGTCCTTTTTCAACCCCGTTCTTTGAAGTGCTGTGCTGAAAGTGCCCTCGCTAGTCTGAGTGGCGATGGGCAGTCTCGCAACGTGAAGCAGTTGGCTAAACTGCGAGAACACCGCGGCAACGCCATCACGATCTGCTTTAGGGGCATTTTCTGGCTTCTCCTTAGGAGGAGTCCTATCGTAAGACGCCGAGGGTTTTCCCATTGTGGTAGTCATACTGTTGGAGTCGTTGAGATGGAGTCTATCTCCATTCCTTTCGTAGTGTCCGTTGTTTTGTTTCGTGCTCGCCATCTTGATTGACTTGCGTGGGGAAAGCCGGGAGTTTACTGACTGTCCGTCACCAGACCAAGATGGAGAGATTGGTGGGTGTGGCAAAGCTCAGTGTCACAATTTAAATCTGGTCAAACCTCTTGGATTCACTTGGTCGGTCAGGGGGAGTCCTACCAGCAGCTTTCCGTGAACCTATGACGGGATACGACGGGATACAGAATGTGTACCCACTCGATATCTACCTACATATACGGCTACGTAGATGGCTACGTAGGGAGTCTCAGAACCGACACAAGCCTTACAGGAGATTTCCATCTCCAATCTAGTCAATAGATTGTCATTCGAGGCTTGCTAGATATGCATAGGGAGAGCGGGGAAATCGAAGATAGGAATAGGTAACCTTGGAAGTATATAGTATACAGCTGGAAGATATACGGTACTACAGTAAGTAAATGTGAGCAGGTATGTAGGTTGGTATGTGGGTATGTATAGAATAGTCACATACAACCATTACTAGTTTCACCGCTTGCCACGCCGTTGACTCTCTATTATCAATATCAAAATCAAAAGCAAAATCAAAATCAAAATATCCCAACGTCGTCGCCGTTGAGCCCACCGAAAGTAGCCAGGGGATTGAACAATTCATTGTCTTAGATCTGATAAATCAGTTATAACCCTTACCACAAGTTACCAGAGTCCAGCCACCCAGCTATTTTAGAATTCTCAACTCATTCATTCATCTATCTATTTATTCGACTATCATTTTCTTCATTTCAAAAGCAAATGAATAAAAAAATAAAATAAAAATGAAAGAATATAAGCATGTAACTCAATCATTTGCATTAATTAAGCTGAACATCCTAGAACAGTAACGGATCGACGCTTTTTTTGATTTGTGCTATGAGAATCGTTTGACTTGGTTCTACTTATCACCAATAAATATTGCCTCTATTGAAGCCTCATACGTTCGCAGGCATGAACAGCCAACAGCCAACGGCCAACGACCCCTCTTGGTTCTCAGCTACCTTACTAGTTATGTAGGTATTTACGTACCTATCCTAGTAGTTGCCCGTCCGTCCTCCAAGCCTCCCGGGCTGTCTCATTGACGATACCCGATGTCTGCATATCTAGGTCTTACACCTACAGCGCCGCTCAAGCCTCATGTATGTATCTCAAACCGTAGGGATGCATCGGGTATGACTTGCTTTGATTGGCTTAAGGTCCTACGCTGCATTTTCTTTCTCATTTGTTATTGGTCGTGCATCGTGAATGTCACTGATGACCACAAGGGAGCAAATAGTCTTACCTGTATCCCTATCGTGGTCGCCAATGTGTAAAAAAGTGATGATGTATTTCTTTTGCTTCGATAAATTAGTCGAATAAGATCACCATTCTTCTCGCGCAGGCGCATGATATGGTAAGACACACATGTAACTTCCCGACCTTCCAATAAGTGATCACTTAGACCCTGTCGCCATCTTGGGGTGAACTCCCTGCCTCGATTTTCTACAAATCTCCTTCGTGCCTAGGTTGTGCAAAGCCACTATCACAAGACTTATGTGACTACCCTGACTACCTCTAGCTCGACGTATCTGCCTATTAGCTGTAGTGTACTGTTGTGCTTGTGTTCTGTAGTACAGCCGTCCATACCCTCTACTCTCCGCCAATGGACCATTATCATTTATCCCCCGAGGCCAACTCTGGGCGAGATCGCGAGCACTCTGGAAGACATGCGGCAAGACCACTGAGTATCTCCTCTTTGGAATATGCTCCTATATCGTCTACTATGAATCCAATAAAGGAGAATCGTAATACCCCACATAAGCTTGTGCTGTGTTTTGATGGCACTGGGAATAAGTTCCGTGGAGACGACAGCGATAGCAACATCTTGAAGATTTTCAGATGTCTAGATCGGGAGGCGGGCGATCAGTGTATGTTTTTAGGAGTCCCGTTGGTTTGAGTCCCATTGGAGTATACGTCCCTACTACTTGCAAAGCTCTTATTAACTATCAACTTAGACCATTACTACCAGCCAGGAATAGGGACATATGTTGTGTCTAACTCACTATCACATACCAGCCTCGGAGCTAGAATCCGATCTTGGTATCTGAAAGCCAAGGACTCTGCCATTGGGTCTAGCTTCGATCACCATGTAGTTGGTGGCTATCGGTTTCTTATGCGCTTCTATAGCCCAGGCGATGAGATCTATTTCTTCGGTTTCTCTAGGGGCGCCTACGTAGCACGTTTCTTAGCTGAAATGCTTGACTATGTCGGCCTGCTTTCTCACGGAAACGAAGAGCTGATCACATTTGCCTGGAAGGCATTTTCACACTGGCAGAGTCGTCAATCAGACCAGAGCGAAGAGAACCAAGCTAAGAGGAAGGAGATGTATCGTTTCATGAAAGGATTTCGCGATACTTTCAGTCGCCCAGTTAAACGTATCAGGTTTCTGGGACTTTTTGACACGGTGAATTCGGTGCCACGATTTGAGGCGGCTTGGATGCAAAGATCGAAATTCCCATACACTGCAAGTAGCAGCGCAAAGGCATGTAATAACACAGAATACTGTAGGCCACCAATGTAAGAGCCAACTCAGCTTACCCAAAATCGTATATCAGGTCATCCGTCATTGCGTATCTATAGACGAGCGTCGCGCAAAATTCAGGCAAGATCTTATCTACCAAGGAGTCAACAAATCTAAACCAGACCATCATCCACACAAGCATGTTCGCGAGAAGATTCACGAGAAGTACCGAGCAAGACGAGGAACGAATTCGGGATCGGTATCGGCAGACAACAAACAAGTGAGAGGCCGTCGCGAGACTCTAGCACCTCTCGATGAGAGCGCTTTCCGTCCCCATTCCCGATCAAAGTCTCGCACGACCAGAGGCTCCTTTGATCAAGGAAGCCAAGCTGGAGGCAACAACCCAGACAATAATCAAACCTTTGACGATGCTGATGAATCAGATGATGATGAACAGGACATAGATGAAATCTGGTTAGTGAAGGAACTCTACCTAACCTGGGTAGATTATGTCGACTCCCTATATAGTAAGACTGCTAACTCATCAGTTAGGTTCGCGGGCGGTCATGCTGACATAGGAGGTGGATGGGAGATTCCTACGGAGAGCAAATCCGCAAGCCATGTGCCTCTTGTATACATGATTCGAGAAGCCCAAAAAGCCGGTCTTAACTTTGATCCCGAGAAGCTGATTGAGATGGGAGTGATGGAGGCCCTCGAGGAACCTCTCATGGACGGTGACAATGCTGATCACCACGATAGCGGGGTCCCTGACATTCGCATTGACAAGTCAAGCCCGACGAATGAAGCCAGGCCAGAAGTTATGAATTGGGGCCATATCAACTACACGGGTGAACAGGAGAAGAAGAAAGAAGAAACAGAAAGTCCTAGTTCTTTTCATCAAATGCTCCATAAAGCACATCTAGCCCATATTCATGATTCATTAGAATTCTCATCTGGCTTGGGAGTAGGTCAAGTTCTGAGCTGGAAAATAAGTACGTTATATATATCTATATCTCACCATCATTACCAATTTTACTCACTAATTTCACCCGTCGCAGTGGAGTACATGCCCTTCAGGCGAATGGATCTACAACCCGACGGGTCGTGGAAACCAATTCGCTGGCCGCTTCCCTGCGGTGAAGTACGCGATATTCCTCACGCTGCCAGGGTTCACGGCTCAGTAATTAGGCGACTGAAGGAAGATCAAGCGTATCGGCCCGGCAATCTAATTATCGGTGGTGGAGGGCGCGGTATGCGTCGGGCTCCCGAGGAATACGGCATTGGAGAATGGAAATGCGTTCAAAATCACGGTGATCCTATAGGGGAAGTTTGGGTTAAGAACGTTGTAGAAACCAATGGCTCCTAGAAGGAAGGACATGATGCATGTTGCGCAATATCTACTAGGTAGGTATGTAGTATTGATAATTCAGTGTGCTGTGTCTTCCTCTTTGATATATATAGCCTAACCTTAGGTCCTTCTAGTTACTACCTGGGAAGGTAGGTAGGTTGGTTATGTATGGCATCAAAATCACATCATCCTCACAGACAAATAAAAAAAGCCATACATCATATCACTACTACCACTACCATGATAGAAATGTTTGAAAAGAGATGAATGGACAGATAGATACGCGCGTGACATCAATCTGCTCTATTGAATACACAAGACAATTCGAGACTCGAGATAGAAGTGAGTATCCGCACTACACCGATTGATTCCCAAAATACAACCTTCGCCACCCAGCACACCCTTTTTTGGTTTAAAAATAGACATTCTCTTCTGTCTCGGAATTCACATGTGAAGTGGGTTGGGAATTGCAAATACGAAGAAAACAACTCCACCAACTCGATCACGCAGTACCATCTCCCCGTCTTGTTCCTCCCCAAACAGTCGAGATCTCTAGAAACACGAGTCGAGGAAACAGGCAGGAAATCATAGAAAACGCCCCAGAGTGTTAAGATGGTTATCCACCAAAAAGGGGAAAAAAAACGACTGAGATGTACGTATTAAAAGGCACTTTTGCCTTAATCTTGCTCGTCATCCAGAACGGAGGCTATTAGCTTCTCCGTTGCAGATCCGTAACCTGAGATTGGTAAGAATCGGGTGATCGATCATGTTGATCCACCGATACCTGGGCAGAGCCAACCCACGCGCAAAAACAATATAGAAGAAATAAGCCGAGTAACGGAAACATAATGCGTGTCCTTCAAGAATACAATAGAGCCAACCTTTACAAGGCATACGGCAGTCCCAATCAGTGTTGGGAACGAACTAGGTAACAAGACCAAGCCAGGGGGGATATGTGAAGCGGAGGTGATATGATGAAATAGCTAGAAAACAAACATGTGGTATGTGGTCAGCTCTAAGAATAATCCGAAAACCACTTTTTGTTTTCTTTTTAGTGGTCGTGTTTCGTGTCTCTGCCGAGTGTGATAGCCATCACGGACCATAACCGTAGTCCAGATGCGAGTTTAAACAACCGACAAACGCCATGACATGCCCAAGGTAACCCAACGCGCAGATGCTAAAAGAGTATTGTGTTAGGGAGGCCGAACAGGCGAGGAAAACTACTCTGCCCCAATTTCTCCAGCTCCCTCCATTCCAAATGCCGCAGCGTTGAAGTCAAAGGAGCCAGGGTCTGCGTCATTATCGTGGAGGAACGAATCAAAATCGAAGTCATTTAGTACATCGCTTGTCTGCATCGGGTCCGCAAAGCCCATGGAAGTAAAGTCCTATCCCTATGTTAGTACGGGGCACCTTTTTTTTTTTTTTAATGACAGGAAAGAAGAAGAAAAAGCCTACTCACCATTGGACCGCCATTGTTAATATCGAATGAACCCATTTCTGGATGGGCTTGTGGAGCAGCAACCGGTGCCTGGGTAGGCTGTGGGGCTGACACGGGGGCATTAGCTGCGGGTTGTACGCCGCCCACATTCTGACCATTCTTAAAATTGGCTGTATTGACGGGAGTGACAGGCGCAGGCTCCGCTTCTTGAGTATTCTCCGCGGCGGGAGTTGCGCCTGTATTCTGAGTTGCCTTCTTTTGAGCCGCACCCTAGACAACCTGATTAGCTAATTATCATCACAGCGCTGTATTTTGAACACGTACCTTAGTCTTCGTATTTTTGGTTTCTTTCTTTTTAGGGGCAGCCTTGTTGGACTGCTGGGGCGTGGGAGGGGCTGCGGTGTTTTGCTGTGGCGACGTTGGCTGGGCACGACCAGCGGCTGCGTTGTTGGCCGGCGCCGGAGCTGATGGAGGTGGCATAGACCTTTGTTGTGGTGTGCCCTGTACTTGGCCTTGAGGACCCTGGGGCCCTTGAGGCGCCATCCCGTTCCCATTTGGCCCCTGCCATTGCATTGGAGGACCACCCTGGACGCCCTGTTGCTGTCTCATCAACTGAGGGTTCACCTGGCCATTAAAGGGTGGGTTCGGGTGAGAACTTGGAGGACGCATTCCATTCATCTGGGCGGCGACCATGTTGTTGTCCATTCCGTTGATGCCTTTGAAAAAGTGCGGCTGCATGCTAGGATCCATGTTATTTGGCATGCCGAAATTCATAGGGTTCGGTGAGCCCCTAGATTGAGCCCCTTCTGGCAATGGCGACGGCATATTGGCTGGGTTCATTTGGGGCGTACCGCGCTTGATCTGTTCAGCAGGGTTGGGAGAAGTCCCTGCCCGCGGTCCCTGAGGTGACTCTTGGAAGGGCTGGCCATTCGGGCCTGGCCCTCCTGGACCACCGGGGCCGCCGCCATCTCCACGAGGCATGCCACCACCACCCATGCTGTCCTGTTCCTGCCTGGCCATCATCAGCCGCTTTTTGTTCTGTTGTTCGAGCAGCATCAACTGCATCTGGTAGTCCTGCAAAGCGTGGTTGCTACCGCCTGCCCCTTGTGCGCCGCCTGGTCCGGTCCTCATCCCTCCAGGACCCATCGCTCCGGAACCGGTCATGTCCGGATTGTAATAAGCGCCCAACGTGGGGCCATCAGGACCTTGTTGCATCATCGGTGAAGCCTGGCCTTGCGGACCGGCAGGATTAGGCATTTGCTTGTTCGGCATTTGCTGGCCGTGATGTTGCTGTAGATTCTGGGAATAGGTCTGGATCGATTTGGCCTGGGTTTGCGGAGGCTGGGTTTGGAAATTTTGGAACTGCTGAGGGGACAGATTAGCTGGGTCGATGCCGTTTGTTGAAAGCATATGCTGAGCCATGGCAGCACTTCTGGGTCCGTTGCCTACTTGTTGTCCTGGCATTCCCTGCTGCGGCCGTTGTCCATTGGGCATCATGCCTCCTTGTTGAGGATTAAAGGGACCCGAGCCATCTAGACGTTGTCTTTTGCTAGGCGAGGGCGCGTTCTCGCCAGCACCGGGAGAACCTGGTCGATTCTGATTACCATCCATATTCGAGCCGTCACGCTGCATCTGGTTTTGCTTTGCCTGCTGCAGCATATGCATAGCTTGTGGACTGTTACACAAACAAGGTCAGTAATAGATAAGGGTTTTTTTTAATCCCCGGTGAACATACTTATTCTGGTTATTGGCCATGGCGGTTCTGGCCAAAGTATTGGGCTGTTTGGCGTTGACAGGAAGTCCATTTCCCATTGACATCATCCGGTTTTGAGTAAATACGTCTTGTCGCATCCCCCGTAATATGGCTTGTTGTTCATTCTGTCTCTGTCGGTTTTGTTGCTAAACTTGTTAGGCATGTTGATATGTAGTAGTAGTGGGAGTACGGGGTACCTACTTGAGTATGATTGACATATTGACTTACTTGTGGGCTAATGCCAGGCTTATTGCGCTGAGCCATTAACATGTCCCAGAATAGGCAGAACCATTCATAAAGGAAACAATTGTCAGCACCCGTTGGAACATTGGGCGGGAACAGATCAGGTGGTCTTTTCGAATCAATGTCATCTTTACTGTCGGTGTCCATTGCATCATCGCCGACACCATTACCCATAATATTGCCGTTCTCGTCGCGACGGCGTCCTGGGCTGTCTTTGATAACGTTCAAGGTTTGCTCGCTGTTAAGCATCGCGCGCGCACAATCGTACATGCCTTCTCGCAAGAAGTAGTCATAGATATATGTGTTGAGAACTGTCCGATTGTTTCCTTGGCTCTGGACTTGTTGTGCGGCGAGCGTGTTATTCATCATGGGCGTTGGACCGCCGACAGGGCCGCCGGCCATGGGCATGTTAGCCATATTCACGTTATTCATGTTGAGAGGTTGTGGAGTGACAAGTATCTGTCAAGAGTCGGGTCGTTTAATCACGTCGAGGTTCTGCTGCTTCGACGAATGCGCATGCGTGTCGTTGCGACTAGGAAAATTTCGTCACTGTCGGATTCGAGTATGGCCGTTGCAGATCGTGATGTGCTGACCAACGCTCCAGAGCGCGCTCTTGCTAATCAGTCACAGGCGAAAAACCACTCGTCTAACAGTAACTAAAAGCCTCCGGGTTTTTAGGTGATGGAAGCGTGTACGTATATTGGCCAAGTCGATGCCGTATGGTATAAGATTAAGACTTTTAATGAAGAATCCTTTTCTGGGACTCGCCTGTTTTGGGGGAACAGGAATATTGATGAGGCTAGAATTTGAAGTTCTCCAGCCGTGCAGAAAAGGAGCGGAAATGGATGCGACCCAGGTACACGAGTACCGAAGATCCCCTAGCGTGTACAGTGACAAGGGGGAAAATTAAGGACTGGAAATGAGATGGAAAATGAAGTACTGGGTTCGAGGGTTCGCGGATAACGTGTTAGTTCAGCAAGCGAAACCGACGACGGAATAGAAGGGAAAGATGAAGTTAATGTGTGCGGATTTTGCTGCGGCGGTGGTGATGGCGAAGATGGAGTAATCAGTTCTGTCAGTCGATTTTGGTCGAGTGGTATGGGCGTGGGCGTGGTCTGGTCGTGGCGGTGGTAGGTGCTCACTGATAATAGTCGTGGTTATTGGGGGCTGGTGCTGTCGTAGCGAATCAGAGACAGACAGCGCCCTTGGAAGAGACGCTTCTTTGAAAATTTCCTCCCTCGTCGTCACTTGAGAAAAGAAATAGCCTTCTTCCAAATAAACTAATAATGGTCTTTTAGCCAGGCCTCCTTATCGTTGTTGACAAGGCGCTGGAATAAGACAGGTGTGGTCGGGAAGAATAGAATTAGATTTGTAAGGATGAGAAGCGTTTCGGTGATTGAGAGATTGAATGAACAGATGGATTTGAAGAGTAAAGTAGCTTATGTGGGTAGGCCGGTACTAAACGGAGAAAGCAAAATAGATCGCACTGTGTGTCTAGCGATGGGAGATTTGGGGGGATAATGGATGGGTATGGGGGCCGGAGGCTTGAGGCTTGGAAGGCTTGAAGCTTGCTGGCCCACGCCCAGCACTAGATACTAGGTTGATAACCTAATGTATCTCGATGCGATATTTCTTAATTGTATCGCGCTTTTCTTATCGTATCGCGCCGGCGTTGTCGCGTGTCGTCTTTCAAAAGACAGGACAGGACAAGACTATATCGCTCCTCTTATGTAGATGCAGCGCTTGTCTCCTTTCTCCTACAGCTAAGAAGCCAATGGTTAGGCGAATTCGAAATCGCGCACGGTGGATGCGACCTTGCAGACATTCAAAAGACTAACTAGGTATGTAGGAACTATCCAGAGATGCATATAGAGGTACACACATACAAGGAAATGAAATGAGAATAGCTACCCAGGTAGATATTATGTAGATGGGAGTAGAAAATGAGGAGCAGAGCAGAAAGGAGGAATAGAAGGGAGGAATAAGGAATAGCTGCTGCTGCTGCTGCTGCTGCTGCTGCAAGTATGTATGGTAGGATTATGTTAAGGAAGGAAGAAGGTAAAGAATACAATTCTAACCTTACGGATCTAGCTCGAGACTTGCAAGAATAATGGCGGGTTGACGAGTGGCAGGTACCAGTATGTGGTTTGTGGTAAGTGGATGATAGGATGGATGGTAGGTCCAGGTAGGATGGTATGTAATAGTGTAGATGGCGGATGGAGATTCGATTGTTCAAGTTGTACATAGGTTAACTAGTGCTAACCAGGTACCTACACCTACCTAAAGGCTAAGGTAGGACCTGGTAGGTAAGTAACTGACGTGAGGGATCCCGTGCCTTGGGCTCTTGGGTGTGGATTTGGGTTTGGGTTTGGGGAGAAAGATAGCGCTGGAGGTCTTAGTAACTAACCGGCTGGCAGGCTGGGCTTCCTTGTTAAATACAGTGCGATTATAACGTAGCACCTTCAAATACATCCAGTGGTGAGCGGTACAAGTACATATGGAGAATTAGGAACGGCACTGAGGTGTTATGGAAAGAGAGTAGAGAAGGAAGCTTGCAGAACGGAGGGACTGGGGGGTTAAGGCAAGGCGCGGTGGAAAAACTCTATGATCAGAGGTTCCGATTTAGGCGCATATCTCAGAACGCCCCCAAAGTATATATCCGTACCTTTTCTATGCCGAAAATACGCGGACATCGTGCTAACCTCGACCAAATACTTAAGTATCCACCGGCGTATATTGAAGCACGCTTCTCCATAGTTCAGGCTTGGCACCTCTCATGTCATTTCAAAACTTTAATACTACATACACTATTTCCATGTTCCTGCTTAAAACCGTATCATTTGCACGTTGTATCCAGATGTACACGCGAGCTCTCAACAAGTAGAAAAACTTATAACTTCATATCAGAATCTTGCTCATATTGCTATTTTCCGCCTCTTTCTATTTTTTTTCTATTTTTTTTTTCTATTTCTTTTCTTCGTGTCGAGCGTCTGATCCTAGGAGACAAGTATGTATGGGTACGGAACATCTTCAATGTTAACATTGAAGCAAGGGTGGTTTTCTATTTTGTACCTACATAGTACAGTTAGTACTACATCAATTAGTAGATAAGAAGTACTTGCACAGTATATGCAAATCATCCTTGCCATTACTTCATTGACAATTCTGCTACTGATATCGCGGACCCTTTGGTTAAGATCGACATCCACATCTACTCCGTGATAATTCATTATCAATGTTCCTATATCTTACTAATAATTTGAACCTACTAAAAAGTAGTTTTAGTTATTGTAAGTTGAATGCAAATGCGGTGCATGTAGTCCAACTACATATTCGTACATATGTAAGGTTAGGTATATACGAGAACACTGAATGTTGACTACAACTTACAAGCCTGATGTCCTTCGTCAACTAGTAAATATGTTGCCTTTGCTTGGTGTCTACTAATACCTAGTAGCTATTTAATGTTGATGATGCTTATCTCCACATATACACTACATATTGTATCTAAACTTTGAGTAGGGAAATGCATATGGAGGTTCAGCTGCTAGGTAATACATAATTTGAAGTAAGGAAGCATCTGTCACAAACATCATTAGGGCGACAAGCTAAGGCTGAAGACGAACCAACCTTGATATGCCACATTTGAGACTCGGATCGATAGCCAACACTTGTCAGCTCTGACTTATGCGCCGTTCATCAAACTGATGTTGTTGTTGGCCGGCCAGCATCTCGCCACGTCTGCCTTGCGATGGTAGACCTTGAACCATCTAGTTAACCTTGAGTTAGTAGGTGGTACTAGATGGGTCACCTATGCGGCTTACGAAGGGGTTTTACTATGATTTGGGCCATTCTTCCCCTTGGGATGTCAACCAAGACTTCAACGATTCCAGGCGACGGGCATATTCCTTTCCCGATACCTAACAGGTGACCTACTAGATACCTAACAGACGTAGCTATATATGGATATTTGATTTCCAGACTCGAGACTCAAGTGCCGAGGAACACGGATTTTTGCTCAGATGAAGTGGAGCTTGCCCGAATCAAACACTGTTGAGATGTCCATGGATGGTGAAGGGTACCGGCATGCCGCATCTCCATTATGCCTCGCATCGGCACGGCGCGATACTATAATAAATTGGCGTATTTGTAAATGCAGGTACAGTTGCACACTACTATGTATATCATTGTATGTGAGCCGGTAGTAAATGCACAAAAAAGCCTCCGGTAACGCCCCTCAGCGTTCAATGTTGCTAATATTGTATTGATGTTAATAGGTATTAGGTACAGATACTTGCGACGTTGTGTCCCGTTGCGATAGAGAGAATCTGACAAGTCAAAAGATAGAAGATGCTGCGGAGATTTGTCATGATGCCAAGTCCAAGTACCGTAGACAGGTTGCAAGGGTCGTCAAGCTAACAAGGCCATTGATGTAAGCCCGTTTGCCATCTTGTGATGCAGACAGGGCAGATAGGTAGGCACTGTACATATTAGTAGTTGGCTACCTAGGGTATGTAGGTAGCGGAAGATCATTTTAATGACAGAAATGCACGATGGATGGGGGATGGGGGACGGGATGGGGGAGAATATACTACACTACATGTATTGTACGGTTTTGTACCTACATAGAGCGGACTGGGCGGGGCTCAAATAACTACATCATGCTAAAGTTCGGTAAAGCCCACACTAAATTTGAACCTAACACCTACATAGTACACATGGATGTGCATAACACACCTAACACACACCTCAACACACCTAATACACAACTAACACACACCCCACGGCGCCTCCCGCTTTCGAGTCCTCCCCTTCTGCCCGCCAACCCGCCAGCCCGCCAGCCCGCCAGCCCGCTTTCCCCTCTACGATTTTCCCATTCCAGAGTCTCGGGAGTCAAGTGGATCACCTATAAACATACCAGTGACATCTATCTACCTACCCTAGGTAGATAGTTAGGTAAGGATACACCCACTTTTCCAACAACAAAGATGATACTACGATGATAGTATTTCAATATATGCATGCATAGTAGTACATAGGTCAACGGTACCATATAGATACCAAGTATACAATACACAATACCTATATGTATCTCGTCTAACCTACTAAGTGTGTAGTGACCTATGGTATGGTATGCTATCGTACTCGTTAAAAATTGTTGGCTTGTTGTTATATTTCTGCACTAAGAACATCGTATCTCCCGCCAAATTACAGATCTCGCTAGGTAACTCTAACCAGCGTTTGTCAACGTTGTAGCGTTGAGGCTGCTGCGGAGGCCGCCCAAATTAGTAAATCCCAACCAGGGATGTGGTTGACCGATTAATCATCCTCGGGCGGTAGTTCGTCGTCGATATATCTGATTAAGGATATCCTCATCTCCGTAGTGTCGTTCCCTCGCAACACATCGCTAATAAAGTGTGCCTCAACCTGCATCTGCACCATCTCAAGTGCGCCTCTCAAGACGCCACAGAATATGTTTGAATACCACAACTCATCCTGCGCTCTGCCATCATCGGGAAGCTCGACAAAGTCGGCCAAAGGATTTTCCTCAAATACAAGTGAGAATTGTTTGCTGTCACTCGTCCAATTTGTCACGGTTGGTGTGATGTTCAGGAAAATCTTAAAGCCGACCTATTCGTGAAAAGGGGTTGTTAGTTGTAGAGAGGTAACTGAAATGACTTGATTGGAGGCTTACCTTGGAAATCATGTCGGCCGTCTCTCGGAAATTAGAACATCGTCTCATAGTGTTGGACTTGGCAAGATAGTCTTCGATCAAGCGAAGGCCAATATTATAACCCATCCTATCCAGCTGCTTGTTGACTTCGACATAGTCACCTTCAAAGTCCTTGCATAACTGCGCAACTATTGTTCCATATGTCAAAGTGACAAGTTCAGCATTAACTTTGTCTATACGGCCCCTTTTGGTATATTGTCAGCACAATGTTACGGGACTTATGACTTGCCGACTTACTTCCAGATTCTATACATATTAGCAATGATGAAGGTAGAATAATCCAGAGCCTAACTCACTCTTCGCCCACCCGGGCAGCTTTACTTGCTGACATGCTCGATTTACGAGCTCAGTATGAGCTCAGTATAAGCACGATCAGGTCATTGACTCTTTTTATGGGATATGTTTTTGAGTGTCTAGGCCGAGAGGATGGTTGGAGCAGTTTTAAGTATGTACACATACAGTAACTAGCAAGTACGTACTAAAATAACATGTAATTACTGGAGACAATCAGTTAGACATCCAGTATCGTCATTTCAAGTTAAGTGAAAGAGCCTGGCAGTATTTTGGGCGGTGAACTACGTAGCTAACTGAGAAAGAAAGAACATTGAAGTCGGCAAAACGGGTGACAAAAAGTCCGACCTTTTGACGGAAAATTGCTTTCCCGTTTGAAGTATGTACGTAGTTAATTAGTACATAACTAGTTAACGTTACATACATAAACATACATAATTACATAAACATTCCCAAAAGCCCCCACATCTACATCTCCGGTTTTATTTTGAAGCTTGTTCCAAACTGACAGAAGTTGAAGCTTCAGTTTCTAAATTGTTTAGACCCAAATTTAGTCGAACCAGTCAAAACTGTCGCAACTATATCCGCCAACATTGAACTCCTCCAAGGTCACCTACATACTTAGTAGTAGTACCTTAGGTATATAATTCATTCTACGTACAGCTGATATACATCGATCCTTAAAGAAGGTGCCATACCATTACCGCCAAATCTAATCATAATAACAAGCATCAAGATGTCTGCCGAGAAACGACCTGCGTCCGATGATCCAGGCGCTGGCCAGTTGGTAGTGAAGAGGCAAAAGCCGGGAAGTAGCACTGCTCTTTCTCGTCGAGATGGAGCTTCTGGAAGCGACGCATTAGTGCACTCCGTATGACACCCATTCGTAGAGTTGATAAGAGGTAGTGCAGACCGTGTTAACGTTGTCATTCTAGGCAGTCAGAACGAGCAATCTTGAGGCACCCCTAATGGAACTATCAGGACACTCTGGGGAGATATTCTCGGCAAAGTTTAACCCAACAGGAGATTTAATTGCATCTGGCTCAATGGATCGAAATATCTGTAAGCTTGCCTGGTATTATTAATACTCTTGACCTTAACTGATTTCAGAGACAGTACTTTGGAAATCTTCCGGCACATGTGACAATTACGGCGTTTTAACGGGCCATCGAGGTGCGGTGTTGGACTTACAATGGTCTCGCGACTCAGAGATTTTATACACAGCCTCGGCCGACATGCATCTTGCAAGTTGGGATTTAACATCCGGAACCAGAATACGACGATACATCGGGCACGAAGAGATCATAAATACTATGGATGTAAGCAGGCGCGGCGAGGAGCTCTTAATCAGCGGGAGTGACGATGGCACGATAGGGATATGGGACCCCCGAACAAAGAATGCTGCGGATTACATTGAGACGGAGTTCCCGATTACAGCGGTCGCAGTCTCGGAGGCGGGTAATGAGATTTACTCGGGAGGAATTGACAACGATATCAAAGTCTGGGATATGCGCAAAAAAGCTGTGGTTTATTCGATGCTCGGTCACAATGATACCATAACTAGCTTGCGTGTCTCGCCAGATTCGCAGTCGCTGCTCTCGTACTCCCACGATTCGACAGCAAAGACCTGGGACATCAGGCCCTTTGCGCCTACTGAGCGACACATCCGCACGTTTGATGGTGCTCAAATGGGCATTGAGAAAAATCTCGTTCGAGCTAGTTGGGATAAAGCTGGCAAGAAGATCGCTGTTGGGGCCGGTGATGGGACGGTGATCATATGGTCTAACGATAACGGCAAGCTTCTCTATAAGCTACCAGGCCACAAGGGGACCGTCAACTGTGCTGAGTTCACTCCTGGCGAGGAGCCCGTTAGTAAGTTCATTGTCTCGATCCGAAATCTATAAAAAGTGTGAGCATGTTGGTTAATGGTTGGTTAGTCCTATCGGCATCTTCTGATCGCCGAATGCTGCTTGGAGAGCTGAGATGAGAAGCCCAATCACTCGACAAGAATGATAGTGAAATAATAAGCCGCTTCTTCCATTGGCGGCACGGTTATATGATAAGCCCTCGACAACGAGTACTTGGGCTTATTTATTATCCTACCTTGCTGATATCCCAATGGCTAGGCCTTTCGCTTTGGTTCACATCCATTCGCCTGGCCTAGCATTTCAGGTTTGTCCCATAATAGCCTACAATAAAGTAGGTAGACTAGGTAGGGTCAGCATCGAACAAACTCCTAAAAAAAAAGTCGATATGGTCGTCCCTCAGACTGAAGAATGGAGGCAAGTTGTCAGTGGGCCAAGTAAGGCTGCATATTATTTGAACATGGTTGAGCCTCATTATAAGGCCTACCAAACAGCACCAGTACAAAGGGCCCTTAGCAGGTCTAGATACCTTGATACATACCCTGATACATACCCTGATACATACCTTGATACCTCATACTTACTTAGGTAGTGACCTAAAATAGTAATGGCTGCCTCTTTCAAAATCAAGAAATTGAAAATGCCAACTGTTTTTTGTTTTGCTCATCCAATGATTTTTATGTTCTATGTTCAATGTTGCTTCAAGTTGTGGCGCGGCTGTGTTGGTACCTACGTACCGGAATCCGAAACCATGGTCAGGGGTGGACCCCTTGTAGTTCCCTGTAGTTCCCTGCATCCGAGTTTCACACGAAGCAGGCACGAAGCAAGCCTTTCAGCGCGTATTGGGTTAGCTTAGTGAACGGGCCTCGTGATGGTAGGTTCAGTGTATCGTGATGGTGAGTGGTTTGATTGGCCAGATGATTTATTAGAAACATCAAAATGATATTTAAACTGAAAAAGGTGTGGTAATTAACGTGGTTACGAGGTACGTACCTACTAGGCTTGGTAAGCTTGCTAGGTTCAATGTTTAGGTGTTTTGCATGCCTGGCGTGTTCCTTTATTTAAACCTCTTGGGCAATGTACGACGTAGCACTTTCATGCCTTTTACAGCTTTTCCCACTATTCAATCTTATGTGCATGTAGACAATGTTGTCATAGCCGATCCAGACGGTTACATTCTGTACCTAGACAGCCTAGATTTGTGTAGATGAGACCGTCAAAGCTCCTGGGGTATGTTCTTTAGTTGACCTCAAAATCCACTCTTTCCAGTTCCCGTTCCAGTTCCCAGTTCCAATTCCCAGTTCCAAGTCCCAGTCACTGTCTGTCAGCTTGTCAAGGCGCCGTGACTGTTCGGGGCTCCTCTCTTTGCGCATGTCTTCTCCGTCTCTCTGAGACTCCATCTTGTCTACTAACCTACTACTTACTTACCTACCTATGGTTAGTTGTAATCCTAGTACCTATACATTTCTCTCTAACTTTGTCTGTGTCTGTATCATCTGTATCATCTGTATCATCTGTATCTCTATCTCTATCTCCGTCCCTGTGTCCTAGCATTCTTCCCTTTCGCTCTTTTGTGGTTGTCTCTCTTGTTTTGGAGTTTCCCTTTTTTTTTTCTCAATAATCCAATTGGCAGTTATTGCTGTCAATGGATTTGTGTTAATTGTCGTGTTTCTATTCTACCGTCCTTCGTTTTACACCCTTTTTAAAGAAAAAAAGAAAAAGGAATACTGGGCTCTGGGAGTTCCAATTTCTTTCCCTTCCGAGTAAATCGAACGTGTAATTTTGATAGTTCTCTTCGATCTCCATCCCTTCGATTACCTCCTCCTTTAAATTTGGCTGGTCCTACTCAAATTGTATCATTTACGACCTAAGACATACATTATATCGAAACTGCAGGCACCCGAGTGCTCCTTGATTCCGGAGAAAATCGATTCGTCAGGGTCTGTTCTGTCCGAAACCCGTTGCACATAACTTGAAGAACGCCCTCCCAGTGTCTACTACCAATAAGCTGTCATAACGCCGCTGCTATCACGTACTGTCACGTACTGTCGGTTTATAGAAGCTAGGCCGACCTGATCTGACCATCCGTATCTGCTATAGATCATACATCCAGATCGCGCCTCCTGACGCGCTTGGGATTGTGTGAATAGGCTAGATTGGCGAGCGAAAGTATGTATAGGGCCGGTTCCCGGTAACATTAGGTTCGACGCTTGAGAAGCCGCGCATCTTCCAGTCCTAAAGCCATGGACTTCATTCGGACGAACGTCCTAGGGAGGGACCAGTTACAAGAGGGGCAGGTGCGGGATTTAGAGCAGCAAAGACCGCAAGAGATGGGCGAGCAGCGAAGTCACCACACGAGAGGTCTTTCACTCAGCCGTCCGCCTTTACCTTTACCTAGACTATTCATCGACCGGTCACATCTAGGTAGGCAGCAAATTCATAGAGCCGACGACGACAGCCCGAAAACCCCGCATTCCAATGCTACACATCTCCCGACCCAGCCGCAGTCCTCGGGCCGAAATTCCTCACGTTCAACCCTACCAGGACCAACAAATCTATCATCTGGGACCGTCTCCGAGCCATCGCTATCTCAGGCACATGATATTCCTGTCATACCTGAACCATCGCCTGCTTATCCGAGCGATGGCTTTGGAAACAGTCGCGCTGGGCATTCACGGTTTCGTGGGGCCGATCCGGCGGAGACAGAATTAGCCGACGCCGTAGATCGGAGAAGACGTCGTCAGGATCGGGGACGGGTGCGACGGCATATAGACAGAGATAACCCCAGGAAATTTTTCTTTTGCTTCCCCTGGATCCAGTCGCGACGCCTACGTTCTCAGATCGTGCGTTGCTTTGTAGCAGGCATTTTGTTGATGCTTATGCTTGCTGTTTGTAAGTGCTTCAAACTCGTATCTTGCGCGCCCATGGACACTAATAAGTGTGATATAGACCTCGCACTCTCTATCACAAAGAACATCAACAGCAACGAGTTCACGGTGCTCTTGATCCTTGTCATATTATCCGCTACTATCTTCTTCTGCCACGGATTGATTAAGATCTGCATGATCATTATCAGGCCCCCCCAAGATGATGATGTTGAACGCGCGCCATTCCCGAGGCAGGAGCCTGGCGGTTATGCCGTACCACGGCGACCGATCCACGTTATTCTAGCACGCGATGAGGAGGTCGTGGGAAATGCAGAACCCTCAAGTAAACTGGAGCCCCCGGCTTACGGGTTATGGCGTGAAAGTGTGGTATGTAGTCGATTTAAATATCCTCCATCTTGATCTAGATGATACTAATAATATATTCAGCGTGTGGACCCGGACCGCCTCTACTGGCAACGCAACGATCAGGCATCCACAGTTGGGAGTGACGACGAGGAGTCACGTCCCGGGTCAGGCCACGCGCGGCCACCGTCGTATGCATCAGAAGATGGCATATCATACGTCGTTGAGGCGCGCCCTAGATCGGTCGTTCCGCCGGCCGATATACCTCTTACGCCCCACACGCCTTACACGCCTCTCACTCCTCATACTCCTCATACACCTCATACACCCCACATGCTTCACCCACCTCACACCCCTCTCACGCCCCACTCTGCTGCGTTTCTCTCAGTAGAGCGATCCCCAAGTGCTCGGTGATAGAGAAGTTAGAAATTAGGTCTGCTCTGCTCTATTGCAAACTCGACCGGGATTGTAGAGGTTAAGGTAATGAGGAGACACATGGTAGGGCAACCAAAGAGATGTGTAAGATGCCGAACGTAATATTGGAACACTCTGGAAATATAAGGAGGAGCCTGAGAAGCAAAGGCGAATTTGACCCGTTCGTTTCGTTCAGATTGGCCAGTTGCCTACAACTGGTATGTCTACTGACCATACCTACCTACCTACCTACCTACATAGGCGCATGTTGCTTGCTTCTAGCGCCAGAACTGGGAGGACTGGTTATATAAGAGATACTTACATGGTGTCACTCCTCATCACGGGATGGGAAAGAGTTGTTTGGAAGAGCAGTTTTAAACGAAATATCGTGCGTAGGACCCCAGTATTCAATATGTCGGGTGTCGATATGGTTACTTGAATGGGTGACAGTCGATGACAGTCGAAGTCAGTCATCTGTATTAACATTTTGTATTCGACCAGTGTTTTCTGCAGTTCTATTTAAACAAAAGCTACGATGTATAGATGTGAAAGAGTAGAAGCATATATCAACGTGTTCATGTATAAGTGCTCTCCAGTCAGATGTGGGCTGAATACTGAGGCCTGATTTTGTGGCGTACCTACTTGATGTGGTTTATACCGAAGCTTAAGTTGGTAGGTCTCAGGGTCAATGGTATTGCTGGTGGATCGTTACTATATACATAGGTAGGCCGTAATATATGTGTATATTAGATACCCTAATCAAGTATGTCCCAAGTTGGCCTACTACCTATGTTCTAGGTAAGGTACAGCTTAAAGGATTTCAGCCGTCCTTAGAAAAATGTAGGTTGATAATTTACGTACACACTCGTATGTATAACGATCTAATTGGTGCTAGGAAGACGCTTGGCGGGAGAAAGAAGACCGAGAATCTTCCTGCTTGCCCCAAAAATAATATGCCCCAGAACTAATCAAGATCGCGATCACAGTCGCAATCCATTGGGCTGGCGATGTTGGAAAGCAGAGATCAACGAGACGGGAATCACAACTGCAATGAGATAATGCGCCATTAAGTCCCCAACCTTGCGACGGGGTGTTGATTGGCTAAACCTGGACCTAGAACTTGAGGGGGGGGAGGGGATCATGTAGGCTGAGGGGAGAGGCGGCGGTAGCTGCACATCGGCTTGCTCCAACGTCGACAAGAGATCTCTTGGATGGTGGGAAACACAAGATATTGGCTTATGTGGCTTGTTGGAATCACGGCCATGTGGTATAATGCGGTATACTGTAGTATACTATCATGCAGGTTCCCAGTCCCAACTGTCCGTTCTTCGGTTAGGGATGTCTCGCTCATTGTTGGATCAGACACTCATTCAATGGTTGGTAATAGCCAGTCAGGTCAGCGTGCCTAAAGCTACCTTGGGGCAGGGTTCGTCCGCCTAATACCACGTAAACGGTTAATGAAGCTAGACTGTTCCAGACTTATCACCATGGTTTCTTTTTCATCCTATCCCGTTTTTGCCCAGACCCTGTGCGCGCATCTATCGGGCCTCAAGTCCTAGGATGTGGGGTCGGGAATACTATGTATGGAAGGGTCATTGGACTTATGTATGGATGCACCTAAGTAAGGAGGGAGCTCTATCAGGCAATGTCCAGTAGTTCGTATAAGAGCGCATAAGAGAGGATCATTAAAGTACCCATTTCCCTCTTGAATACTGATCAGCTTTTGGAAACAGCACTTGCCCAGCTCCTCGTTAGTTTCTAGCCCTGTATGAGATAGACAGTCCGAGATTTGATCAGATTATCTCTCAAAGCTCAAGACGTTTCTTTATGAGAAAGGGCATTACTAATATAAATATCTAATGTACTAATTAGTATCCACCATCAAAGACGAGGGGGGGGGGGAAGGTAATAGATCAACACGTGAAAGGGGAAAAAGAAATGGAAACTACCTAGGTAGTCGGAAAGCTCGCTAAAGGTCTCTTTAAAAGTCTGCAGGAATAAAATGCTAACTAACCTACCTAGTGAGACCTTGGATCAACTTTCTGGGCCCATGCCCTCCTTAACCCAGCTGAGATATCAAATTTTTGCTGGAGTCATGCAGGGCAGCAAACCGTAAGACATTAGAATGAAAAAAAAGGGGGGGTGAAGGGGACTTGGTATTGTTGTTATTGGTTGAAATACTCGGCGAGCTGATGCTAATACGGGACCTACTTGCATCAAGGCATTTTATACCCCTCAGCCCTTTTTTTATTTTCTATAATATTTCTTTCTTTCTTTGCTTAATGCTAGGTTAGTATAATTAAGTGCGTATTGTGAGGTTGAATAGTAATAAATTATGCACTATGTGTAACTAGGTATGTAGGTAGGGATAATTCCGATATCCTTGGTGAGATTTGAGATATTTGAGATATGTAAATAGTAGGTATTATGGTGATACTACTAAGTTAGTAGTATAAGTAGTTACATACTATCTAGGTATGTAGTAATGTGGCATGGCATATGGCGGTGATACATATTAGTAACATGCTACTAAGCATTCAGAACATTGAAACATTCAATGTTATTGATCTATCAAGTTAATGCATTCCAAACGGCAAGAGAAGGAAACAACGTAAAAGGTAACAAGGACACGACGTCTAATAAAACAAAACATGGAAGTTGGAAGTCTTTACCAACAATTAACCCTACTTATAACATAGTTAATACCTAGTACCTACTGTAGGTTAGAGTACTTTTACCTACCCTAGGGCCTAGGTAGTAGTAGGTAGTAGGTAGTAGGTAGTAGGTACTAACCTTAGGTCAGTAGGTAGGGTACCTAGTAGGGAAGTAGGGAAGTCTACTAGGGACTAACCTACGCTACCCTGGGTAGTAATAGAAACAAATAAATGAAAAAAAGGGAAACGAAACGAAACAAAAAATCAAAAAATCAAAAAACAAAAAAAAATAGTAGTAGCCACCTGGACTTCTTGCCTGAATTTTGACGATCCATCCGCTAATAGGTAAGTAAACCCTACTGAGGTATGCAGGGAAGGTTCTATGAAGTATCTGCTACTGGAACACGGCGCATAATCCATATGGACAACAGCCTAGTCCTTAATAGTCTCTAAAGTAATTGGTACTTGTTTTTCGTACATACCCTTCACCCGCGCCGGGGATCCACTCAACTGTCCCCTCCCCTCCGGTCCTTTCTCATTCCCATGTCCCTCCCTCTCCTCTCTTTTCTCTTAACCCTTTCCCTTTCTTTTTCTGTGGTTCTGAATATTGCTTCCGCATCGAATCGAATCGCATCGCATCGCGTATTATAACATAAGCCCCCCACGGAGGTCGCGTAGTGTTTGGAGAAGACGTCGTCGCTCGGAAGAGAAGGTTGCTGTTGGTTGACGGATAGCAGCAGAAAGGAAGAAGGAAAAATAAAAAAGAGAGAAGCGGTTGCGCGGAAATAAACAGAAGATAAATTATAGACTTTTTAGAAAGTGTGAGTTTTCATCCCCCTTTTCCTTCTTTCTTTATGTTAGCCTCTCTTTTGCTCTTGCGTATATATATCATCGCAAAAGTATTCTCTTGCATTTTTCCAGAGTGGCCCTGCACACGAAAATGGTGTGTGGCGTGTGGTACAGCAACAGATCAGAACCAGAACCAGAACCAGAGCCAGAGCCAGAAGAAGGACCAAGGATTGTTCCATGCTGTGCGACAGCAATCCTCGGACAACTTTCGACGACAAACAGGAACGACAAACCCATTATAATCTTTGCGATCTTATTTACGCCGTCATTTTATGACTGGGCCTTTACAATGGATATTCCGTCGCTCCCTATCATATCTGCCCCTCACTTGCGACACGCGATTTTGCGACTATTCTTTGATGCGCCGACATAACAACAATTCAACGGGACTTTGTCTATCCATTTCACACGAGGTACATGACAACTCTCGGAATCAGAGATTGCCATGATTGGCGACAACGGGAATCCTGGATTATGGGTGCATGATTCGATGGGATTAGATTTGCGCATAAGCACAATCCCACTCAGCTATGATTATACGACATTTCGATGCTTCGATGCTTCGATACTTCGACGTTGGCCGTTCCATGTATCCTTATTCGACTCCAACGTCGCACCCACAAATCCCAAGTGGCTTTCCGTTAAATTTGAAAAATATTTATAATATTGCGCCTATATGCGACATGCGCAAAGTTCATGAAGAAAGAAGACTCGGAATCATACGGGCCTAGTCGCATAATAACGAGATGTCGTTGACCAAAATCAACAAGATGGAAATTATACATATATATACACATCTATCAATATCTATCGATCGGGCAAGATGGTTGTCTATCTCGCATCTTGTGTCGGGTCGCACGAACCCAACCGTCTGCAGTCAACCTGGTTAACCTGCAGGTTCTGGAAAACCACTCAACAACTTCGACCGCCCATCCGTCATTCACTTTGCGAAACCGTACCATCCTTCGTGGGGTAATTTATCCGACAGATGACTGCACGTGGCGGTTCCTTATTACCCTTTTCGGTACCGCCCGATTGATACCATCCATCACAATACCTGTTCAGCGTCATCTACGTGTTGTGTGGTGAACGAACAATAAGCGGCAATATTTATGAAACGCTCCTATTCCTTATTACCCCTGGAAAACCTGGCCCAAATGAATATCTAAACATCTGATGAGATGCCTACCACTTGGGTGGAAGATGGATTACAATCGGATGATAATACTAACGATACTAACGTGCCACCACCACATCGCTGCAAACGGGTCATTCATGGATGGATAGTCGGAGATAAAACTTATGTGAAGTGCCTTGCTGATGATAGAACCACACAGATTCACAGACTTTTCGCCATGTCTTCCCTATCTCGTCGAGCATGCTACAAATGTGGCAATGTTGGTCACTACGCCGAGGTTTGCTCCTCTGCTGAGCGTCTTTGCTACAACTGCAAACAGCCGGGTATGCCTCTATCTATACCAATGGGCTCTATTGCGATCTCCCTGGAACTAATAAATTTGTTTAGGACATGAGTCTAACCAATGTCCTCTCCCTCGTACCACTGAGGCAAAGCAGTGCTATCACTGTCAAGGGCTCGGGCACGTTCAGGCTGACTGCCCTACCCTCCGTCTGAGCGGTGCTGGTGGTAACGGCCGTTGCTACAACTGCGGCCAGCCCGGTCACCTGGCTCGAGCCTGCCCTAACCCGGCCGGTGTTGGAATGGGGCGTGGCGGACCGATCGCCCGTGGTGGATACGGCGGTGGTTTCGGCCGAGGCGCATTCGCTGGTGGCCCCCGACCGGCTACCTGCTACAAATGCGGCGGGCCAAACCACTTTGCGCGCGATTGCCAAGCTCAGGCGATGAAGTGCTATGCATGTGGAAAACTCGGTCACATCTCTCGAGACTGTACTGCGCCAAATGGTGGTCCTCTCAACACTGCTGGTAAGACCTGCTATCAGTGCGGTGAAGCCGGCCACATCTCGCGCGACTGCCCTCAGAAGAACACTAATGGTGACGTCCCGCCCGAGGTCGAGATCGCCGCTGTTCCGGCTATCCCTCCGGTAGCGTAAGAGCCGTTTCTCCCGACGTACATGGCATTTGGCATCGTGTCGTCTGACAAGGATCGTCTCACTCTGAGAATACTGCCCCAACGGCACTTCTCGGGCGGCTAATGGTTTTTAATGTCAGACTAGCCATTTTTAATAGGCTGTTTATTCGCCTATGAGTGCCATGTTGTCCATCTAGGCACATAAGCCCTCTGGAATGAGGACTTATAACATCGTTGGATATCTTTTTTTTTTTCATCTTCCTTACGTTGCATCTGAATTATTAAAATCTAAGCATAACAAGCCTTTTTCTCTTGCCTGATTTATTACGCCCCTTATTTCGTTTCTATTGCCAAACCTTTCCAACCCCTTTATCGTCTGCCTGATGTATCGAGGCTGGGATGGTTGGCTGCGACGAGTTTCCACGATTTTAAAGCGAAAACTACATTGCTTCCTTACGAACATCTCCGGTATTGGCTCAAGATACCACTTTACTTTCCGGATCCTTATCGACCACCTTCAATTTCCTTCATATCATTTTCTCTTTTTTTTTTTTCCTGGCATGACGCATAGCGTACATGATACGATACGACTAGACTTCTGAGGGCTATTACGTATGACGTTCTTCGCACGAGAGTATCATATCATGTGTCTTAATGGACTGGGTACACGTACGATCGATCGGATCAATCTCATTCTTCTGATACCCCGTTTTTTGCCCTCCTGTATTATCATCAAAAGTAAGGCTGAGGAGAGTGAGGCAGGAGTGGTACTTTGACGAGAGAGAAAAAGGGTGGGAAAAGTCTGTTTGCAACATTGCAAACCACCATTTTCAGTATGCGATTGAGTAGAGCGGAACCACGAACAAACAACACCGACTCGGAAAGGACTTGACCACAAATGGACCTCATGACGCGCAGGCTAGGGCAACGCAAGGCCTTGGACGCAGGGATGTCTCGATAGGAGTGCAGCGAAGCAAGAAGACAAAGAGGAGTGAGTGAGTGAGTGGGATTGCGGCCGACTTGAAAACAACATGGAAGAGTGAAGATCTGCGATGGAAGGCCTGTCGAGCCGTGAGTGGGAGAAGAATTTTAAATAGAAAAAAACATAGTTCGGAAAATGAAGCAAAAGGTAGATGCGTCGCAGATCTTGTAATGCGGGTGGTGGGTCAAAAGCTGATATCGAAGCACGAAAAAGAAAAAAAAAGAGGAAAGGGGGGTGGTTCTAGCCAGTTATTATTTTTAATGTGGCCGAGTTCATCTCTGTCGTCGCCGTTAGTAGTCAATCAAGTCAATCCAAAATCAGTCGAACCTATCATATACTTGTCGTCTATACTACTAGGTACTTGCCCAGGTAGCCAATACCTGTGTTCTTCTCGCTCGAGTTTCAAGTTAGCATCGATTTTCTCCCTCCAAACGTATCACTACACTGGACGATATACGTGGGGGACAAATCTGCATTGGAGGATGACATAAAGTTCACACATGATCGAATATGCATTGTTATTCAAGATTTATGTTATTTGGTAGCTTGAGTACAGGTAGCGTATATCAATGTTCATATAGGTAACGGCTGCCCAACATCTATGATAGATTCACCCAGCGACTTGCCGAGCTGCACTAAAGTCTTCTCATAGACTTTGCCCACATTTAATTGTAATTCTTCCTCTTCTTCATCATCCTCGTCTGGGTCTTCGCCGAGTTCGCCAATATCTACTTCAGCATCAGGGGCCATTTGTATTACCCGTGGCGCCGAAAAAGGAAATGTGCTGGTCACATTATCTAGAGTCTCGCCATCGGTTCCAGATTCTTCATCATCGTCGTCGTCGTCATCTACCATCCAGTGGAATTTCGCGTCAGGTTGACCTACGCCCGGCCCGGGTCCGTTGATCATCGGATGTGGACTCCTATTCTCCGGCGCCGCGTCACTAAACTCTAGGATCGGTTCGTCATTTTCTTCTTTGACTTTGGTCCGTTTATCTTCGCGCGGTTCGTCTTCCAGATCCGAATCATGGGACTTGCGCTTAGGAGCCGGATGCTCTAGTTCCAATGCGTCGTCCGAGTCGGCCTCGAAATCTCCAACGTCTTCCGTCTTTATCCTGTTACTAGCACCTACGCTACTGCTGGTGGTAGTTGTAGCTATACTTTCTGGAATCGGAGTTTGTATAAGCCCTGTCGAGATAGATATATCGATATTCCTCCTCGTAGGGATAGGCGCCATTCTACCACCACCGTTATCGTCGTCGTCGTCGTCGTCGTCATCCACAAAGTTTTCGACGTCGGGTTCTTCACTCATGACGGTTGCGACAAGCATCCGGGTTTCATCAGCTATACTCTTGCAACGCACCATGTCGGTCCTCGTGAATCCTCTCGTGCCGCTCTGAAACGCCGGTAGTGGAACCCCGGATTTTGCATCGCGACCGAGGATCAGGCTTGCAAAGCAGTGGTCTAGCTTTTTCAAAAGAGCGAATGTGGGGCGCGGTGAGGGTGTAAAGGATGGCAGGTATGTGTTGAAGGCGAGTGCGACGTTAAGGAGATATGGGATTTGAAGGCTGGCTAGGAAGTTGTTAGCTTTGTCTTCCATTATATATATCTATATATCTACTACTATATCTAGTAAGAGATGAAGGTGTGGTATCACATACGAGTACCAGAAAACCAAAGTACGTCCACGACCTCCTCAAGGTCTTTGCATACTTCATCCATACTATCATACCCCGACACCTCGTCGGCGGGATCGGGAATGCCATGCTTCTTGACGTAACGTCGCGAGATGTGTAACAATCGCTCAGAGACATAATTTCTAGCGTAGTCTTCCTTTCTAGATCCGCGCGCTAGAGGCCTCGATCGGGGGTGTGGTAGGCGCGCGGCCGCCCGGCTCGATGCGGTACTCGGAGCGGGCGAGGGGAGCGACGTAGTGCCATTTGGTAGAAAGGGGACGGGGGAAAATGTAGATGTTTCAACCATTTTCAAAGACTGAATCAATAAGATAGATTAGTTTTAAGTACTGGGTTAGGTGCATGAGGAATTAAGTAAATGGTATTAGATCTTTGTGATGGAAACAAGAGAGAAAGAGTTGCGATTAACTGCACAGTTGGTCAGTTGCTTTTAAGTTACAGTACCTAGGTACTTAAAGTATAACTACCTAGTAATCGTACCAGTAACCACAGTGACTTCCCAAGGTTTGTGCCTACCTAGTAGTTAGTAAACACTGCCCAGGTGAACTTCCAGACTTTGAAGAGTTCGTTCAGCCCTGTGACGCCATTGACCTGTCACATGCGCCTAATTAGCCACATTCCGCCACATATACATCACATGGCATGGATAATTATTGTGCATGGCATTAGCTAAGCTCTTATCGATAATTGGCTGCAATTTCATAGGATTATTTTCTAGTCTTTTCAACATCTCAAGACTTCAACTTGCCAGGTTAAAGAACAAATCCGACGACACCGCATCCACCACACACACACACACAAATTCAAAAATACACAATACACACAACATATCGCAGCCATGGCACCAAGAAGACTCGGCGGTCGCTCCAACAAAGGGTTTCTCAGTTCTACCTACGAGACCTTCACATCTTCCGAGAATGCATCCGTTGTGCGAAGTGTAGCCATTTTCGGCGTATGTCTTTTTTCCCTCTTACCATACAGCTTTATATTACTGAATCACTAACGATATATACAGGCAGCCGTTACTTTCCTAGCCAGTCCATGGAGCGAATACCTACTTCCACCGTAAGATATCCTCATATCTCATGCGCTTGCACCAACTCATGTCTTGCGCGACCCGCTAACATGTCGCTCCAGGCTATAAAGTACGCCTTCACTGAAGGATAGATGGAATACCGAACTAGAAGAAGATTTGTACGATACGAGATCGGTTGTACCAGTTATTCCCTAGGCGTAGGGTCGGATCATGGGGTTACGTATAGAGCATTTGCATCTAATCGGTCGGTCCGGCGCTCTCGTTAATCGGGTACGAAGACACTTTTGAGGAAACGCCTCCCCTTTATGCATTAGTATTATGAAATACTTGTCACGATTCCCACGCTACCCTCCTATAATTCAAGCCGGAAATAAATATGTGAAGCGACTTTTCAAACATAGGTGCCTCTATACCTAGTAGTAAGCGCCCCAGGCAGCATAACTCTAAGGACATACTTATCCAATTAATTTCAGCCTGCGCTGTTCGGTCTTCACTCGCTAGACAATCTCCAAGGGTTTATTAATTCTTAGCGTATAGGTATATCAGCATGTAGTATGTCTTTAATGGTGCCCTTTGATTTCTTTAGGAGGGGCAGGGGGGATGAGCACCAGCCCTTGGTCTGTGAAATCACGAGCGCCATACACAATTCGAAGGTCGAGAACTCCAATCTGATATACTCCTAGCCCAACTCATTTTAGACTGCGTAAGAAGCAGCTTCAGGCCGTAGCTTATCATTTGTTCTAGTTCTCATCCTCGACATCATCTAGATCCCAGTGGCTAGGTTAGACAATCGGACTTGACGACGGGTGATGGAGAGATGCTAAAAAAAACATGGCGATTCCTACGAATTCAGGCTCAGAAAAGTGCTTAATTCCTTCGCGGGCTCAGTACCGGGTCCAATACTACAGCGCTGGCACTCTTGGTGGACTGTATGGGGGAAAGGGACGCTAATTAATAATATTTCTGACTAGAGCCTATTCATGGAGAAGGATTCAGATAAAACTAGGGATTGCGTAATCGCAATAGTAGAGGAATCAATACCAGAGGTGAAGAGAGGGGGACTACGACATATGGACTGATGGAGCCATTGTTATTGTTTCTTTCTTTGGGGGTGGGGGGGGTGGATTGCAGTTGAGAAGAGTAGCCCAATCGCTTTTTAGTCTTTGGAAGAGCCGTAAAAGAGGGTTTCGTTGTCTAGTCCTTTAGTTCAGAGTTGGTTAAAAGTCGCATAACCTGGAATTTTAATCCAAAGGATCGAATCCCTCATGCTTCTATGGTTAGAAACGATATCTTGGGTCTAAGTTAGCTGGCAGAATTACTATTTTCGTACAGCCAAGTCTAACTTGGGGAGGCCCTTAGTTTAGAATAAGTCTTTAGAGTACTAACTAGGTAGTCACTTAAGTATGTCTTTACAGTCTCAATGTATGGAGTATAGTTTTCGGTAATGAAGAGAATAATAGTCTTAGCTTCGAATATATATATATATATTGTTGTTATATTCTTTCCAGTTTCAATAGACATATATCTGTAACAATGTTATTAATAATATAGATAAAATCCTTTATCATACACTCCAACCTCAACTCCCCAAAGGACAACTTTGACACTCTATAGGGTTTAGTAACTAGGTAACCTAGGTTAGAGCCCTTGACTTTCCTAACCTAACCATTCTCGTTATCGGTAAACGAGGGGGGAGGTTGTATGGTAACGGAACCTCAACTAGGAATTGATTACCACAGTTGACAAGCCCCAATGCAAGTTCGTTTTCTATATCGGATACAGACCGAAGTCTAGACTGTTATTACTATACATGATTGGTAATGTATGTATTTTCGTCCACAACAGCGCGGATGTACCTATATCATTGGTTATTATGTACGAACCCTTGAGTTCTAGATATTCACCGCCAAACCAATATATTGATTTATAACTACGTATAGGTATGTTTCATTAAAAAAAGCAGAAAACCAACGCCTTCAGCAAGCCCCTATTCAACTAAGCCACAAGCTAGGTAGGCCTAGGTAGTATTGATTTCCAGTTATGCATGCCATCCTAGATCGGTGCCGCATCCGTTGTCGTCTTCCGGAGGCAACGCATGCTACTAGGTTAGTATGTATGCACATACTGCGACATAATTACTAACATTCCTCTTTTCCATCAACCTTAACCAATCTTTCCAAGCCTACCATCGATCAGCACTTTGACCGGCGGTGAAGATGGAGACCAACCTGGCCTTGTCCGCTACCAACAAGCACCCACATGACCATCCACACGGCTCACATTGAACGCTCAGTGGACAAAATCCTAACAACGACGCCATGGCAAGATCGAGCGGTGCAGGTGCTGTCGAATCTATACTAGCTCTTTGATCCCCGCCGGTCGGAGGCGAACAATAGGGGGGTCATGCGGCACACTGTCTAACTTGCCCAGCAGCTGTAGATTCATTGTCTTGGATATTCCAGCCGACCTATATATACACCAAGCAGACAGGGGAGCATTCAATGTATACAGGCATAGTCCCCCGCACCTCGAAGTTCGTAGTTCTTCTCATAGTCACAAGATTGCCTCAATTCATTTCAGGTTCACGTACTGGCAATATATCAATATAGCATACCTATATTTAGTATATCAAAGACTGGCTCTACTTGCTCTCTTCTCCTATCCCGGTTTGTTAGCTCGCCACAGAAATAAAAGGATACCTACATATATCTCACTGGTAATGGCGGATCCGAACCCCTTTAAGGACAAAGTCATCTTGGTGACGGGAGCGGCTCAGGGGTTTGGGGAGGCAATTGCAGAATACGTCGCAGCCCGCGGTGCAAGCCTCTCCCTAGTAGATTTGCAAGGCGACAAGCTTGCCGCTACAGCGCTACGTATCAGCAAGGCGCACCCAGACATTAAGGTCCTGACCGCAGCCCTAGACATCACGGATGAAAAAGCCGTTGAGGAGTGGGTCATGGCGAGCAAGGAGAAACTTGGGAAGATCAGTGGATGTGTGAACAACGCCGGTACGTGCTTTTCCCTGTTTCTCTCCCTATGTCCCTATGTCCCTATGCTCCTATCCAGATTTTACAAAAACAACCCCTATCCTCCACACCATCCATAGCCTCGATCGAACTAACCACCAACTTGCTTGCAAAAAAAACAGGCATTATTGATCCAGATACAACCCCATTGACGGAGATGAGCCTGGAGACATGGAATAAGGTCATCAACGTGAACCTAACAGGTCTCTTTCTTTGCCTCAAGTACCAGCTACGTGCTCTCGAGGATGGAGGCAGCATAGTCAACATGTCAAGCGTCGCCGGCATGTGCGGCATGGCATTTCACCCAGCATACAGCTCTTCCAAGCACGGCCTCGTCGGCCTGTCCAAAACTGCCGCGGCACAACACGCACACCGCGGCGTCAGGGTGAATATAGTGAGCCCGTAAGTACCTACCTACTTCTCCTTAACCCCCCCCCCCCCCCCCCCCCCCCCAACACCCCTAATTCTACTCTTCCCAGAGTGATGAGAGAGATTTCAGCCGGCTAATCTTACAACCCCGGGACACAGAAGTATCGGGGACACGCCAATGTGGCACAATCTACGCGAGCAGATGGGAGGCAATCTCGACGTGAAGGACTTCCCGCAACAGTTATTCCAGCGGTACATAAAGCCAGAAGAGCTCGCGGCCACGGTTGCGTTCCTCTTAGGCGACGAGAGTAAGTTTTTCACGCAGGCGATAATACCGGTAGACGGTGGGTTTACCGGATAGATGATATACGCATAGTAATAAAGTGGCACGTTAAGCTAGTGTGTTTTATGAAAGAGTATACGATGTATAGAGCATATGTTGATAAATTCGTGTGGTTCTATTTGATTAGGTAGCAGAGCTAAGCATTTGAGAAGGTTGTGTCGTCGATACATGGATCTACTTTGTGCGTAGAATACGAAAAGCCATTATTGTGCATTGTCTAATCATAGGGACCTCGAGTAGGTAGTTTAAGTTGTGATACCCTGAACAGGTAGGTCTATTTAATAATATAATTGATCCATATGTGGCTAAGGTACCTTAATTTCTCCTGCCTCCGTTTTAATATGCATATCTAACCCCTTTTTTTCTTCCCCTTTTTTTTTAATTCATATGTCTCCCCTTTTTATGTAATCCAGCATGTATTCTCTCTAATCAAAATCTCCTTGAGTACTGGGGATGTTAGCTTAGGCTTCAACATCGACCTCGGTTTCTGAATCGTCCTCATCGATTCGCTTGCTATTCTCCGGTGGCATGGTTGCCATAAATAAGATGACGAAGCCAAACACTGCGAATGCCTTGAAAGATATCAGTAACCATATATCAGGTAAAGCTGGAAGGCTTCTTATAACGTACTGTGTTGCAGAAAAAGGTCAAACTCGGCCGACCAACTTCGGAGAAAGCAGCAAATATCAGGCCGAAAAGGCCCTGTGTTAACAACGTTGCTGTGCTTTCCACCAATGTAATGGCACTAATCGCGTCCCGTCGTTGACTTGGTGCGCATAATTCAGTCATAACTCCCTTTGCGGCCGGCGCCGAGCCAGAAGCAAACGGCAACAAGAAGCCAGCTATTCAAAGTTAATCTCTGGAGTTTCCCAAAGAGAGAACGCGGGGGGTTCTTACCAAGGTATACCTGCCAACCATCTGTTGAGAACCCGGCAAAGAAGGTTACCAAGGAATCAATGACGAGGCTCCATCTAACAAAGAAGAGGTCGAATCCAGTACCAGAATCCTCTTCATCTAGGTCTGGGGCTTCTATTGGCTCTTGGGGGACTTCTCCACCTTCAGCAGCTTCAAAGTCTTCTGGGTTGGTAGGTATATGACATTCCGATGCTGGCTCTCTACCTTCCGTCGAAGTTGTCGTGCCATTGAACCAAATCCGGCCGGCAGATATGATCTTTGGAAACATGAAAAGCAAAAAGATTCCACGAATGGCCGAGTTTCCAAACATGAGATATCCGTTTTCGGTAGTGCCAAAATTGAATTCGGACGTTGCGTACATTTGTAGAAGAATCGGAGCATATCCAGAAGCAAACTATACAGTTAGAGAGAATAGGGATAAGGAAAGAGAAGCATAGTGTTATGAAAAGTGAAATACTCACCACACCAAGAAAAATACCAAGGGCGAGGAAAATCAAGCTATAATTCCGAATGATCTTACCCGACTCTAGGCGGTATTTATGAGGGACAATAACTTTGATAGGTGCGAAGAAGGCGCTGATTCCTCGGCTATCTTTTTGCTGACTGTCACGCTCGTTTTTCGTGGTGGTTGGCATAAACAGTGCTCCGTATATGGCAGTGACAACATAGAGGAAGAATGCCACCTCGAAGGGGCGCCGGATATTATAGACATCGCCAAGCACGCCTCCCACTATGAGATCGTTAGTTTTTGTTGCACTTCTATTGACATCACACGCGCAAACTCACGAAGGAAGCCAAAGGCAGTCCCCAACATGATCGATCCCTGCAATCGCCCAAAGACAGCGGTACGGTCCTTCGCGGCAACCAGTTCACTGACGGCAGTGTTGAGAACCAGTTGATAACCACGAGGGCCTCCTACAATGCCGATAGCTTGGCAGGCCTGAAAGATGATTTCGCCAGACCGGCCGCCAACGGTCACACCAAGAACCTGTGTCGATACCCTTATACCCAACAGTACAGTCTGTGATACAAAGGCCCATCGTGGACCCCAGATTTTGATAAGGTAGCCACATATGAATAAGTTGAAAACTCCGCTTATGGAAGTAGACATGCCTAAAACGGAGACCTGTGTGGCAGTGCCAGCGTTGATCTCTCGACGATGACAACGGTCACCGGGACCTTCGAAGGGTGCATTGTGGTCATAAAAGATGTCACATTCCATAAGACGGAAGACGTAAATAATGCTGAGGTCTTGATTAGAATGAAATGGTTATAGAGTGGTTAATAATGAAGAAAGGGTCATGAACTAGTGCAGACTCACGGGACTTGGGTGATGCCAAGGGTGAAGCTCATCATAAATCCGGCGAGTAAAAGACGATTAGCGGGCCCGAAGACGGCTCCGGCAACCCCCACGGCTTTCCCGGCCTTCCCGGTCTTGGCGAGATTTGGAGTAATTCCATTTTCGAGTAATGGCGTTCTTTCATCAGCTGTCATGATGGTACGGACCGGACCGCCTATCTAGGTAGGTATTGTACTTTGGTGTTATTCGTAATGTGTGTAGTACACTTCAAGGGTTGTGGCAAATGTCATATACCTAACCTAGTTATCTCTAGTAGTACAAATATGTAGGATGATGCATGTACTATCTACACAGCTTACAGTACTGGGTACTGGGTATGTAGGTATTTCAAGAGAAGAAGTTAATGTTGAGGATGGAGAACATTACATATCTTTGATAACTTGGACATGCACCTTTCAATCTTTCTCACCGTACCTACCATGTAAGATGCCTAGGTCCGCTATTAGGAGAGTTTACTACCTAGGGTACCCTAGATAGGTACTAAACCTAGGTACTAAACCGCCGAATCTTGTCCGATCGTGCAGCAGCTGCGGGCCACTAATTGTTAAGCCCATCGATCCAATTGGCGAGTGTATTATTATGTACCGGGTAGGTATGATGTGATTGAAGTAAGGTAGGCGCATTTCCGATTAGAATATTTCAATGTTGCTTCCCATCCCTATCTTCGCAGTTGCCTTCATCTACCACTTACGTACTTACCTAACCTACATATGTAAGTATACCTAGTATACATATCTATGTAGTACTACCTACTAGGTATGTATGTATTACACAGTACTATGTAATCTACATCATCGATCAATGATATATGTAGAGAATCGAGATAAGCACACGATTATCCAATGTATGTGCTTAAGCCTGAGTCTGTATAACCAGAACTATATCATTCATTAGGTATGTAGCTAATGCATTGCATGCGCATTTCGGTGACCGACCGATAACTTGAATGGACGGTACAATTATGTACCGACTACACATACTACTAGGTACAGTACCTACCTCGGTATGTAGGTTATATGTTTGGGAAGGAAACGGCACGAACCTTGATCTCTTATAAAGTCTTCTAATTCTATTTAGAAGACTCTTATTTAGACATTCTCACGCAATTAAATAACGGTCACCGGCATGCGACATCGGATATCCCCAAAAATTAGATTCACATTTCAAGCAACGTTTCTCGGTCCCCTACCTTTCATATAAATATATTATATGTATGTAATATACATCAAAGGAAAATAAAAGGAGAAGAAAAACATGACATGATACGATATTCTTAGTGGCATGCAAAACGATGGCCCCTTTGGATGTGAAGAAGGAGGAAGGCCAGTCTGAGAAGCCAGTCTCGGGATCTATTATCGAGGATCCCTCGGCTTCTGTCTCTAGTCAAGAGGATGTAGAAGCCGAAGCCGAAGCCGAAGTCGAAGCAGCAGAGCAACATGATGTCCTTCATCCTTATGACTCCAAGGCAAACAGTACACTGGCTAAGGTGGCGAGGGTTCTCAATTGGATGCCACAACGCTGTCGCTATGATCCCGAGAACCCACCAACCTTTACACTGTCGATGAACATAATGCTGGCTCTTGTATGCATGTCACTTGATAATCCCCGTGCCTATGAGCACCGAAAAGGCTGACTAAGAATTTACTCGACAGAGCGGTACGTTCACCGTTGCAAACCTCTATTATCCGCAACCAATTTTGAACGTCCTGGCCCGAGATTTCAACGTGAGCTATGAACGAGCTTCCGATGTTTCTGCGTTATCCCAGGCAGGCTACGCTGTCGGTCTGCTCTTCCTATGCCCCTTGGCCGATATGTTGCCTCGCCGCCCGTTCATCCTTTTTCTAATCTGGATGACGGCAACTGTTGTGTGTGCCAATAAACTTACCTACTCTCTTCTACATTGTGGGGGGGCAACATGTTAACCAGAACTTCGTAGTGGATTGGGCTATGTCTCACGACCAATTTCGATGTATTTATTAGCCTATCATTTCTCTGCGGAGTTGGGTACGTGTTCTCCCATGCCAGTGACCTTTTATCACATACCTAGGTACCCACCTGCGGCCTAGGGCCTAGGTATGTACCCTCTTACCCCTTACTTTGCCTGACAACTAAACAGAACCGTAACGCCACAACTCATGTTACCCCTTGTTGGCGATTTAGCACCTGCTCACCGTCGTGCCAGCTGTCTTTCTGTTGTGGTCTCAGGCTTAGCACTTGGATTACTAATTGCTAGAGTCCTATCTGGCATAGTGGCTAACTTTACCTCCTGGAGAAATATCTACTGGCTTGCGCTTGGCGCGCAATACCTAACGTTGATACTACTCTTCTTCTTTCTCCCAGATTATCCAACAAAGAACAAGGGTCTTAACTACTTCAAAGTACTCTGGGGGATGGCTGTGATGGCGGTCACAGAGCCTCTCCTTTTGCAAGCATGTATCATCGGCTTCCTACTTAGTGCCTGTTTTACTTCATTCTGGACCACTCTCACTTTCCTCCTAGCGTCGCCACCATATGAATATTCATCGCTGGAGATCGGCTGTTTCGCCTTTATCGGTATTGGCGTTATTACTTTATCTCCCATTTCGTCCCGTCTCATTACAGACCGTTTCGTCTTCCTCTTCTCTGTTATTCTTGGCCTGGTTTTCGAGTTCATTGGCATTATTATCTCAACCTTCACAGGAAGCTTCACGGTGGCGGGGCCTATCATTCATGCCATTATGATGGATTTAGGAACCAACTTTGCAAACACTGCCAATCGGAGCAACGTCTATAATCTAGACCCCAAGGCAAGAAACAGAGTCAATACTGTATATATGGTTTTCTCTTTTGCAGGGCAAATCACGGGTACGGCTGTTGGAAATCGGCTATACGCCCGGGGAGGTTGGGTTTGGAGCGGAAGTTCGAACATCGCATTCGTTGGTGTGGCCATTATTGTTGCTGTAATAAGGGGGCCAAGAGAGACAGGCTGGGTAGGTTGGTCGGGGGGGTGGAATATAAAGAATACCGATGTTCGTCAGACAGAGCAAATGGTTGCAGCCGAAGCTAACATCGAAGCTGACATGGAAGGAGCCTTAGCATCACTAGATGACTCAAAAGCATTAAGGCGCCGAGAGACCCGTTCAGGTCCTAATACCTAGGCTAGGGGGCATTTACAGGCAAGGAATCTCGTTCTACACACCTACAGTAAACCAATAATATATGTTCATGTCTAAATACTTCGTAGATATCCCAGTCATCTCCCAGTTACATACGTGCTACTGTTGGTCTTTTATTTATTTATGTTTCTATCCTGTCTTTATATCCAGAACTGATCCCACCAATCCCACCAATCCCAGTTTTTAACAGACTTATACATTTATCCACTCCCACCAGCCTTAGCCACTCAATTTATATCACTCCAAAGTCCACGGCGCAAGATCAGCCCACAACTGGCACCGTTTCCCTCGTCCGCCCTCCCAAGAATATCCCTCGACAAGTTGGAAATCTGCTTCCAAAGCTGTAGAAGAGATATTGTTGCTAGGCATGTAGCTGACAACTTCAAGGGTCACTCCATCTTGAACATAGGTGTTATTGACTGGTATACCACCTGTCATGTTCAGATTGAGCATCCAATTGGAACCTGCCGTTGCTTGCCACTGGGGCCATACACCAGCACCTGCCGCTGTGATATTACCCCCGTTCCCATCCAGAGCGCTTATCTGTGCCTGATCGAGAGTTGGGTCGCCTCTTAGTACAAAATTGCCAAACATGTACTGCAGGGCCGTTCGGAACACCGTGTCCATACCGGTGCCTGCGCCATCTGTCGGCGCAAACAAGGGATACATATTGTACCCGTGCTGTGCTGGCGGGACGGAGAATTGGTAGGTCCAAGCCTTCCCATGCTCCTTATTTGCGTACCCATCCGCGAGCCAGTACGAAGGGCAGATGAACGTTGTTTCCGCATAAAGGTTAGTTGCCGCTTGTTGCCATCCATAGGCCCACTCGGAATTGGTCGTTGAGTATGGCGGATTCTCACCGTTGGAGGCAACTAATATATTGGAGGCATTGGCCGGGATATAATATAGATCGAGTATACTGGTGATGTTCTCTTCACTCAACATCGGGTAGTTTTCTGAAACAAAACCTACGAAATTTTCTTCGGTCGTTAAACCTTGTGGGGTGAAGTCCGGAGCCTCGTTGCGGTTATGCGTCGATAGGATCCGAACACCATTGAGCTTCCCGCCCTTTAGGAGCTGAGTCGTAGGCCTCTCCTTGATAAACTTCCCATCCGTGACGGGGATAAAGGCCCATTGGCCATACAATGCTGATGTGCTCACAAAGTTGCTAGCGTTTTGAAGGACATCCGTATCTGCTGCGATCAAGCACTCGAAAACCGAGTTATTAGCTTTCAACTCATCTGTATGACACCCTACGTTCTCCGCAAAACTATGATAGTACTTCCTTGGCCACTCTCCATCATACTTCCTGAGGTTTCTGTTAACTCTAGCACCGTTATAACAACAATCATAATGAGTAGCCGAGTGTTACCTACCATTGCGTGGGTAAATAAGGACTGGAAACGAAGAGGCCATTAAACAGAGTGGTATTATCCACACCTCCGTTGGCCATTCCTAAAAGCATGACACTGCCACCACCAGCAGATACACCTCCAATAGTCACTTGCTTAGGATCCCCGCCAAAGAGGTGGATGTATTTCTGGACCCATTGCAATGCAAAGTACTGATCGTGAATTCCAGCGTTGAGCACTCCCGACTTGGCCACGTCGGCTGAGGACAGAAACCCGAAGGCACCTAGGCGATACTGGATCGCCACAGTGATGTACTTGTTCCCATTTGTGAGAATCTGTGGCACAAGGTCGAAGCCAGCATTTCCTGAACCATACCCACCGCCGTCTCCTCCCGTCAGAAAAAAATCGTGTAAGGGGCAGGAGGTGACAGGATATCTCACGGATGAAAACCATAACAGGTAGCTTTGTCTTATTGGCAGGTGCGAAAACATTTAGAAATAGACAATCCTCAGACCCCTGAGGGGGGATTATCCGAGGGCTATTTGGAGATGGTCAGAGTTATCTTTCTTCATCCCGAATTCATTAATGTAAACGTACCCCGGTCCAAAAGCTGATTGAGGGCATTGTGATCCAGGTTCGATGGCAGGAAACACTTGGCTTCGATTCTGGGCTGGTAGTCGTGGCAACTGCCACCTCAGCTTGCCAATAGGGGCGGCGGCATATCTAATCCTAAAGCAAGATCAAAAACTAAAAAAATCACTCGTGTTGTCAAATAGCCAGGGCATACCCATTGTAGACATTTAAGTCATAACTGGTATTGTAGTATCCTTGATACCGAGCATAACCAAGGTCAACAACCGGCGCTGGGTGGCTCTGGCCCAAGCAGCATCGGGAAAATGAGATAGTGAGAACTAAAACTGATTTTAGAAGCATGATCAACAGACTAGGCATATCAAAACCTCCATGTATAGCACGAATATCCTAGGCTCTGGGAGCAAACAAAGCAAGAGCGGGAATTTTACCATTCTTATATCGATCGCAGGTACATATGATCAAGGCAAGACTTACCGAAGGAAAGTGTGCACAAAGACTGCATTTACCTTTGTGAGTAGTCTCCAAGACCCGATCCTTCCGATATGAATAAGCACCATCTCTGGAATGCAAGACGAGAAGGCGAAAGTGGAACAGATCATGCAGACCTGGTTTAGGTACCAGGTTGGTATATGTAAAGGGGCAGATACAATAACCTCAGAGAGCTGATCCATGCCTTTTTTATTCCATGCTTAGCTTGCGTGTCCTCGACCAACACGTCCATCGAGGTCATGATTCTGAGGCTCACAGACCACATTACATGCAGCAGCTTACTATTCCCCTCTGAACCCCTATTGGCCAATATATGATTTTCGTGGAAAGCATACCTTAGTAGATGATAATGTAACCAACAGAAATTGTTACCAGGTAGGTCCTTACTCGAATACATTTTATGTTTTCGTATTATTAGATGTTGTGATAGGTATGATCCCATCCACGCATGAGGTAGCTTCTGCTTTCGTCCAAACAGAATGATGAGGCATCTCCTTCATAGTTTGTCTCGTCTGTAAGGGGGTTTGGATAAAAGAAAGGGAGTTGCGAGATAGTTTCTTTATGTACATGTAGCATAATAGCTTTGATAAGGGATTACTCTCGGACTGAAAGGCTTATTAAGGCCTAACAGAAGCTCATCAGCATGGCGTTGAAAAGGTCTTCGGAATCCAAACTTCGTAATAGCATGATGAAGATCTTATACGGTAATGGTAATAGCACATGTTGTGTGACGTCGGGAGATGATGTGACATTACTTTATGCCAGGCATTGTTGATAACACAGGAGTTACAAACTCCTGGTAGTTGGCCAATGGAAGGATTGTCCAAATGAAGATGTTGATATGGATGTTCGTGATATGCGGTTAAACCCGATACTAATATGACTAGCTTGTATCTCAGCGAGCGCAAACTACGGTTGGTAGCCTTTTTATTCAAGCAACTTATTGCTTTAATCGTATGTTTGATAAGCCTTGTTTATATACTTGACAATATAGCAAGCATTGCAGTTATGGCAGTTATGGCAGCGAGGTTTAAAGGCTATCGCCGGTCGGCTACATATATCAAAACCCGCCAAAGAGCCACCACTCTCAAACGCCTCCATTAAAGCCAAATCTGATTCAGATTTTGATCTAAAGGATGCATTAGGAAGCCCTCGCTCTGGAATATTGAACAGAGCTAGTCGGATACCTAATGAATGCCTAAGAGCCGAGTCGCGGGCCGGAGAAGGTGGTAGCCGTTAGTTAGTGTTGCGACAGAGGGTGGTCACGTGGTTCCCCTTTATCAAAACACCATAACTATCACCTACCACATTCTCCAGCTTACGGCTTAACATTTAACAAGCTGTTTAATAAGAATTACTCTAATAAGGAGCAACACTAAATCCGCAGTAGTTACTACTTATGTAACTAATCTCACACACAAATTTGGTGCGTTCTTAAGTACCTCTGCCACACCCAATTCAACACCACATTAAACCCACTCCAGCCCATCCAAATATTTTTGAAAAATCTCCAAAGGCATTCATCTTTGTCGCCTCGACGAGACGGATTGATTGATATATGTTTCAAATCTCAAATAACTGTATTAATTGAGATATTGATTGATCTTTGATTGATCTCTTCAGGCCCTACTGTATGGTGTCCTGAATCAAGGTGGTAACGCAGGTGGCCCATGCGCGGTACCGGTCGCAACTCCAACCTTGAATAACTCCTCCAATACGGCTCCTAGAGAGGTGCAACCAAAATCAAACTGATCCTTGGATTGAGATCTTTAGATTGATACCTTCAATTGAAATTTTGAAGATGGTTTGAATGGGTCGCAATTGATTGAGAGCTTGGTGTGTACTGGAGCCGCCGGAGCTGCGCTACTAGCGCTATACTGCGGACAAAAAGCTAAGTACTCCTACTGCGGATTTAGTGTTGCTTAAAATAAAACTAATATAATATTAATATTTAAAAAAAAGTTTAAATTTAAAAATAAAAAGAAAATTTATCTCCTTATATAATCTAAGTTACATAAATACTTTTTCTAATTATATACGTATTATATAAGTATGTATTATTATTATATAATTATTAAATATTTAACTTTAAAATTTTTTTTTATTTAATTATAACGTTTTAAAAGCTTTTAAAAATGCGACGTTTTATAACTTATTTTAATTAAAGTCTTACTATCCGCACCCTATAAAATTGCTATTAAAGCTTATTCATATTTTAATACATTAAAAGTTTAGCGTTTAAATATTATTAGTCTAAGCTTTTTATTTAATTTTAATTAAAAAATCCAATATAACTTCCATTTTAAAACTTTAATTAAAACATATTTAATATCGTTTAAATTAACTTAATTAAACGGCTTAAATAATATATATTTTAAATTAATACGATTAATGGTTATAAAGTTATTTAAATTTAAAGATTAAAAAGTATTTTAAAAATGGTATAAGTTAAAGTGGTTTATGTATTACGTAGTGTTAATTAACATTATATTAACGGTAAAACGTTTATTTTATTTTTTTCTAAATAATTTTATAATTATTTATTGCGTTAATTTGAAACATATATCGTTTAAAAGCTTTAATTAAGATAATTTTAATGGCTTTAAATATATCTTAATTAGATTTTTAAGTTTAAAGTTATGTTAGATTTATTAATAAAAGTTAAGTGGAAAGTTTAAATTAACAGCCTTTAAACGTTAATTTTTTATGTATTAAGGTGTAAATAAGTTTTAATAATAATTTTATAAAATGCAAATAATAAAACTTTTTAATTAAAATTATATAAAATATATTAAAATATTATTATATTTATTAATAATTATATTATAATAACTAAATTAAATCGTTTTAAAATAAGTTTTTAATAAAAGTTTTATTATATATATTACTTATTTTTATTATCGGGGCTTTAAGTATATTACCATTAAATATTATATATTTTATAAATCCCTTAAAACTTTAAATTTAAAGCTGTTTTAAGCTTTTTAACCCTTTAATTTTAAATAACTTTTCAACCACATATCGCATTAAAATATAACTAAATTTAATTAAAAAAAGATTTAATTTTTAATTAATTAATATAAATATTAAATTAAAGTAATACATAATTACAAAATTATTTAAATAAATAAGATAATAAATTAAAACCATATAATTATTTTTAACGCCACATTAAAAACTTTTAAGCTATATTAAAAACTTTTAAACTATGTTAAAAGCCCTTAAATTATTTAAAGTTAAACCTTATTTAACAATTTTAATTTTAAATAACTCCATAAAATATATAGTTATAAACATATAACTAAATTTAATTAAAAAAAAATTCAATTACTAATTAATTAATACCAGCTATAATTTAAGGCGATACGTAATTAAAAAATTATATCGATATTTGTTTTAAAAATAATTATGTAATATTTTTTAACATAACCTTAAGTAATTTTAAGGCTTTTTAATAACTTTAAAAGCTCTTAATATAACTTTAAAAGTAATTATATGCCTTTTATTTTATCATTTATTTATTTAAATAACTTTATAACCATATATCGCCTTAATTTAAAACTTATATTAATTAATTAATAATTAAATTCCCTTTTAATTAAACCTAATTACACATTTATAACTATATATTTTAAAAAGTTATTTAAATTAAATTAATATAAATAACTAAAGGCATTAAAGGCGTTAAATTAAGCCTAGATTTTAAAATTTAAGGTATGTATTAATACTTAAAAATAATACACTTAAAGCCCTAATAATAAAAATAAATAATACATATAACAAAACTCTTTAATAAAAGTAATTATAATATTTAATATTAAAAACTTTTTTTATTTAAATGCGACGTTTAAAAAGTTTTTAAAAAATATATTAATTAAAAAGCTTTTAAAAAATATAACGTTTATTATAATAATATAAAACGTTACGTTAATAATAATTTAATTTAATTTAACTTTTTAAACGATTTATAACTTATTTTATAAACGTTTTTAAATTTTATATTTAAGTTAATTAAAAGCTTAATAATTAATAAATAAAATAAACGTAATTAAATATTTTTATTTAATTAATTAATTAATTAATTAATTAATTAATTAAATTAATTAATTAAATTAATTATATTTTAACGAAAATTATAAAAATAAAATTAAATAAAGTTAATATATTAATAAAAGTGTATTTAATTTAAAGCTTAAAAAATAAAAAAAAATTATTTTTATTTATTAATGTTTAATAATTTTATATCTTATAAAAAGGGATTATATAATATTTAAAACATTAAAGCTTATAAGGCTTATAAGGCTTAAAAAGCCTTATAAGGTTTTAAGGCTTTATTATAATTATAATATAAAATAATTAATCCATTTGAAGGATATTTTTATGTTAAAACTTTTTTAAAAAATTACTATGGGAAATTACTATAAGAAATTACTATGGGAAATTATTAAAAAATTATTAAATTAATTACGTCATTAAATACCCCTGTAATTCCCAAAAAAACCTGTGTAGGAAAATTAAAATTAATTAAATCGTTATTAGCGTTAATTGTTTAATAGTCGTGCGTTTTTTTTAAAAGTTTTTCATTAATTATATTCTTTTAAAGCAAACGTTTTTTATTGGTTGTATTTTTTTATGTTAATTATCTTAAATTTTGTTAATTATAATTGTGTATTTATAATTATTACCGTATAAGCATATTTTTATTATTATTATCGTATGGGCATATTTCTATTATTATTATTATAATTTATTAAATTTTATCAGTGTATATATAATTAGCTTAAGACGTTAAGAGTTTAATTTTTTTTTTTTTTTTTATATATTAATTGATTGATTGATTTTTTAAGTCCTATTTTTTATTACGGTTAGAAGATTTTTAATTTTTATATTATCTTAGTTTATCCGAGGGGTGAGTAATATGTTTATTTAAATAATTTTTAGATTTTTTAGTTGTTAAAGGGTTAATTAATAATTTTATTTTTATTTATTACTTATATCTTTAATTATGGATTAATTATAATTATCCTTATTTATTGATTATATTTTTAATTATAAACTAACTATAACCTTATCTTTATTTATTAACCATATCTTTATTTGCTTATTTTTATTTATTAATTATATTTTTATTTGTTAATTATATCTAATATTTATTATTATATCGATATTTTTTTTTTATTTTTCTTTAATTTAATCGACCCTTATAAATATATTAATCTATTTTAATATATCCGGCGCCGGTTTAACATCCACTAAGTTATGTTTTAATATTATCTTTTTTTTAATAAAAAGGATAACGTCCACGTTATTTAAATTTAATATATACACATTTAATACATACACACATATGTGTTAATCCTTAATATTAATTTTTAAGCTGACTTGTGCTACTTTAATTAAAGCGATTTTAAATAGTTTTTTTAACGGGATATATATGGTTTTAATGGTTAAGTTACCTAAGGCTTTACCGATGGCTTATGCGTTAAGGCTTTTACGGCTTTACTAATATATAAAGATAAAGATATAAAGGGAATAATGTTTTTAAGATAATTATATTAAATGGTTATATTAAAAGGTTTCGTTAGTTAAGGTAACCGAGAATTAAAGGATCTTATCGGTTAAAAGAACC